ATAGCTTTCGTGTTGGATTTTAATTCTGCCCATTTGTTGGTGCGTCAGCCTGACGCTACTGCTGCACTTATATAAATTCGTCGCGACCCTAAAAGACGAGCTTGTCATCCAGCAGCTGTCTTAGCTCCGACAGTGTCAGAGCCGAACGGGTAGTCACCCACTCAATTGCCACGGTGACGGCCCTTTGAAAACGCGGGCTGTCTCCAGCTTGATATTATATCTGCCCAGGGGTTGCTCTCCGGTAATAGGATAGACTACATAGCGGTTATCAACCAGTGTCAATAAACAACGTTGCAGCTTGCCCTTCATGTGCTGCTTCACCTCACGCTTAGAAGCAAAGATCTCCATCAAATTAGAATGTTTGCAGTATACAGGAAAGCCCTCTTTGCGAATCAGTATGTAGTCGAGTCTTTCACAAGCCTTGCCAATAAGATAGCCTCTTTCTCGACGACGGACCAGGTCTTCTGGGAAGCTCCACTGGGACAACCTTCTGTCAGTTGCACACTTGAGTCCGAACAAGAGCGTAACCTGTGAGTGGGGCGTCCTAAAGCCAACACAATGTGCCGTCTTTGTCCGGAAACACAATTTTGTCCGATCGCTCCACGAATACGATCGTCTCTCTGTACGCCTTAGTCTCCTCAGCAGCCCCTTTTCAATGTGACACCACTTAGTTGTGTCTCACGGACTTGCATCACCCGCTCGAGCTTCTTCTGCAAGTATTCAGGCTGATGTTCTTTGCCTTGCTCCAACCCTGCAGCAACGGAGCTTCTTCGACTGTCCATGGTGCAGTTGACAAGCCAATCAAGTCTGTACCAGTGCCTGGGTTTGATTGATCGGGGCTCTTCTTCCTCCTCCTCATACTCAAAAATTTTGCACTGTCGCCTACTGCATGTCCTTGGGTGGGCCGCTTTGTACGACACGCGATGCAGTCCAATATATTCTGCCACGTTGTTGGTCATGTGCGTGTTGGCGAGAGCTGTGGCCACCGCTCATTCAAATCTTCCGGAGTGTGTTGCCGCGCTCCATTCTACAATACCCGTAATAATAGTTCCACAGCCCATTGCCCACATATCACCGATGACGATGAGCATATCCGTCCAGTGCCCATCTTCACATTACCGTGCTTGAGAGCCCATTGTGGCAGCCATGGCAACTAAAAAGTGGAGATTGCCCTGAGCGCCAAAATCTCGTCCGTTGACCCGCGTCCGCAGTCGGCCACTCCTAGAAAGCGAGCCACAAATGCCACAGTGTTTATTATTCGGGGCATTCCCATAAGATGTGTGCTTTCCATGCATTGCTGCTGCCAGCACATCGTGTACTTCCACCCGGAAAACCCACTCCGACCCTTTCCAAAGCCGTAACCTCCAGAGCTTAGGGTTTAAAATATGTTTTTGCTAGTATGGCGTAACCCCATGCAGACTTTGTAAAACTTGTCCAGCCCTGCTTGTCTAGCGCATTCGCCAGCACTCCGACCAGCCTCTTTTTCTTCAATTGCCTTAAGACTACTCCCAAGACTTCTCCGTCACCAACCTCTTGTAGGTTTTGCGTTGTTGTCTCTATCTTCTGTTACCTGTTCACAATGGGGTATGGTACCACCCACACCTGCTTGGAACCAAGTTATAGCCCCTTTGATATGGCTCCTCGGACCGGATCTGCTCCTTGCTGTATCCTCAATTGTCTCGTGAAATTTCCAGCTACGTTTGACCACCGGCTTGGCACCCTCGCGCTCAATCCAAAACCGATGATGTGGATCATATAGAGGATGGTAGGCTCTCAGGTCATTCTCTGCTTTTGGTCTAGAGGCAAGCTTCGGAAATTGCGCGAGATAAGATAAATCCAGCTCTTGAAAAAGATGCGCCTGCTTACTGGTCAGTGGCAGTTGGAGCCTCGTCGGTATAAAAAAGAATAGCTCCATGCGCTCTCCGTCGCACTGTTACCACGTCCTTAATCCTCTCGTCCGTCACTGTTCCAGCTATTGCTGTGTAGGCTTTCCACCACTGTCGATACCCCTTTCCGTTTCTTGGCTGTAAGCACTACAGCGACATCTTTACCGAATACATTAGGCGGTCTGTTCTCTTGTATCCGGCAAAGATGCTGAGTGCCTCATAGGCGCACTCAGGTTTTGTTTGGGTTCTAAAGTTGGCTTAACGTGTCTGGGACTTTCTAGCGCTTTTGTTATTGTGCATCGTATAGTTTCGAGATGTATTGGAAAAAAATACAAGTGCAGGACGAAAGCGCGCCGCCCGACGCGAAATCCGACCCAGCAGCCGTTGTTAGAAACCTACGACGGCTCTATGAACCTACTGTGACAAGAGATCTCAGATTGGATATGACAGACCGCTTTTACACATCAGTGATTTTGTCGATGTAGCTGCTTACGACAAAATTCTACAGTGGAAACTATGATGATGAACAAACGTGAAATACGCGAAACAATCCTGCCAAAAAAGACGCAAAACGGCCGCAGAGCTGCAAACAAGCGTCCTGCTACCGTTGCACGGTGAACCTACGAGGTCGCTATGTTGGTTCATGTTCCTTTCGTGGTAGTTATACGGTGGTACGACATCCAAGGCGTACATGTCCTGGCAACAGGTGGAAGCACTCAGGAAGACCGCGTCGTACGTCGTGATCCAGTTACAGGGGGTGAGAGGCTCCATGAATCGTGAAAGCCTACCAAACTTTCGTGGGCAGCGTCGATGTTCATGATCCGATTAGGCTCCAAAGATAAACGTACTTATCGTGTCTTTTCATGGTTTATTTAATTACCTTATCGCGCCTGGTACAATTTTGCATTGCTAAGGTACTCTCTACAGCTCGAGAGAAGATACAAAAATTTACCAAGAACTGTTTCTCGGGCTAACAGACCTGGTTATCATCAACACTTTTATTTTCTAAAGCTGCCGGCGCATCCGAGACGACCAATAGAAGGTGTTGCACGTGGGCTTCCTAAAGCAGCTCTACTTGGAGCTATGCCAACTTCAAGCTGAGGACTGACAGCAACTGCTGCGCCACCGTCTCCAACCAACACGGACAAAAGGCTATGATAGGTCTTGTCATACACCGATGTAGACGCATGGATGTCGAAATAGGATTGCCCTCCAGACCAGAAAGCGCCGACAGCGCACGTGCAAGACCTATTCAGTTCTCAAAGCAGAAGGATAAAAGCGTGTGGAGGGCAACCTTTTATACCTTTTAGTGCGGTGATTACAAACTAAAAACGCCATCGAGAAACGCCGTGGCCGCCCAGGTGTTTCTTTGCAATGAGGTGAAGCACTTTATCAATGGAAATCCGGCCTCATGATTCAAGATCCGACATAAATATTGGGGACAGCGGCACGTTGGTTCCCTAGTCGCGCAACGAACGCAAGATTCGTGCCCGAAATCCAAATATTCGTACCGGTGGTGACAAAGCCGCCTCCAAATTCGTCAAGCAGCAAAGACGGAAGTGTGGGGTCTCGAGGGCGATTTCCGTCCTGCTCATTCTTCATGTGGGCGAAGGTAATCATGATTGAATCCTCACGCCAAGCAAGATGAGCATGTCGTATTGACCAGCGCTCTTGGTACGACACATGAGATTCCAGCAAACCAGAAGAAATGGATGCCCGAACGCATCTTGTTTTCGACTAGACTGGATCGTTGCCCTAGTCGCCGTTCTGAACATCAAGAAGATAAATGACTCCTTCCCTTCACAAAGGCGCTCTTGTCACTGTACCCTTCGAGCTCATTTGGGAATCGAAATCTTGCGGTCAAGAGCACTCAGTTTCTGTCTAAAGAAGCACTAATGCTGAACGTACATTACCGGTCGTGAACTTCTCCGCCACTCACCGCTGCTCCATCAATGCAAGATAGCGCATACACCCCTGGGTAAAAAAGCTTTATGGGGATTCGTAGTGGCTCTGATGAGGACCAATCCATGATACTTCCTCCATCGATGGTTTGCAGAGACAGAAACGCGCTGGTGAACAGGATTCGCCGTCGAGCTCCTGCCGCATTAGAGCTTCAGAAGTACCGACAAATGGAGAACACGTAGCGCAAAAACACGTAAGGGAGATGCGTAAAAATCGCTACGGGTTATACGTACCGCTTGCGGTTCAAAAGGACGTATTTCCAAAGTTTACGTAGCAAAAGTACGTAGTCGCTCAGTCCGCGTTATGCGACAGAAGCAAACAGCAAAAGTGCGGACAATGGATCTGCAGCAGCGCATCCTTACAGTAGCTGAAGGAAGAGGAACTGAGCATTACCTAGCTAAGCATATAGCTTAGTGTGCCTAGCTCATAGCGCTACAAAAGCAAGGGGCTCTGTCATTATTTACACGCGCTCGACCGACACTCGCAAGGCGCATCCGCGCTGCTGCACGGTTCCAGAACGAGGGTCACTAAAATAGGGTAGAATGTCTCAAACAATTTTTTGACTTTCGAAAACACGTAGCAAAAGTACGTGAAGACCGCTTCATCTACCGTAACGTGTCCGAAAAACGATTTTTTTTCGAAAATGATTTTCTTGCTACGTACATTGATATCATTTTTTGCGATTTTCGGTACTTCTGAAAGCCTCTATTGTCATGGGGCCACTTTACGAAGAAAGATAACGCTCGTATATACACGTTTTTAGTGTTGTCTGCCGTAATATCCTTAAATACTTCCTCGACACGGGCATCTAGCGTTTTCGAACTGACTCCAAAATTGATCTTAGAAAGAATAATTAGTTTCATTAGAAACGTTTCTACAGTGGCATAGTGAACGGCGAATACTACATCGCCCGCCCAATCATTAAGACCACCGATTTGGCGGGACACTTTTGACGATATCTCGGCTTGTAGCCCGAGTTAGGAGCTACTACTTTGATATGTTCTCTCTATTAGGCTTAGTAAGATGCCACTTGTGTTAACAACTTAGATTTCAATGTGTCTGGCAGCGCTGGTGTACAAATTCAGGGTTTTGGCACCAGCGTCAAATTATTAATACGTATTTTAATAATTATTTTCAGCTAAGTACTACGTACTACGTTCCTGCAACATTAGCAGTTCGAGGTCGTAGCGGTTCTCGATTCCGCGGGCGCTCTTTAGCCTTAGCAGTCAGAGGCATGTTTCTACCGAGGATAGCTTTATCACAGCTAAATGGATGTCGAGATACAGTCTTTGAAATGTTTAAGCGGAAGAGGTTGCTGGTAGTAGAGCCCAGCATCGCCATCTGAGGCACTGTTCCCACTCCCATGGTCGCACTCAACAGCAATCCCCACCGCGACACACCAAGTCCCTTCCACAGCGACGAATTGTCGGCGGCTCGATGCCACCGATACGACACTTGCGACGCGTAACCTAAGCTTTTCAGGTCGAGGAACGACAACACGCGCTCTCGAAGTCTTTGCGACAAAACGTATTCGCCAACATCGCTCGCTTCCCCACGCTGAAGTCCCGCAATCGACGCTCGCTCGAGATCTTCATTTCCCGCTGCAAACTCCGCCAGAGTCTTCGCACCTCTAGCTTCCTCCTCCGCCACGTCGCCATAGCAATTCCTCGCTCCGAGGTCACACTCTCTCCGAACAAGCAGTCGAACTGTACGGTACTGACCTTTTCGTGCAGCGTAGAACAGAGGGGTTTCTCCATCCCTCGTCTGCGCATTGATATCCGCTCCACGGTCCAGCAATAACTCGGCAAGGTGAACATGACCGTCAAAGCACGCGAGGTGCAGAGGAGTCTCTAGAGCGTCGTTGCGAACGTCAATGCTCCAACCAAAGTCTAGCAGTAGTTGTAATACGTTTAGGTGTCCTCGGGCGGCAGCATGGTGCACTGGAGAGTAACCGAGCTGCAGAAGGAAATGAACACCTGAGTTAAGCTTTCTACAGCTTATGGTCTAGCCACACGTACTAGGCCTTTGCATCGGTCTTTGTCGACGCCCTGGTGCAATAGTAAGAAGACGGCGCGTTGTTTACCCTTCTCGCTTGCAATTAGCAATTGCTCATTGAGTTGATCACTCTCGACTCGCAACAAACTCGTCAGCTGATGTGACGCATCCTCTTTCTGGCTGCGCTTCGTCTTTCCCTTCTTCTTGCTGGGCTTTATCTTACCAGTCTCCGGTTCTTGCACTAGCTTTATCCTTCTAGACGACAGCTCCCTACCAGCCAACGTTGGTGGCCGCACCTCACCGCCGTCGCGATCAACCGCCATGGCAGCGATTATATAACAGAGCTATTGACGAATTTAGCACTGCAACTTGCCTTTCGTCAGAGTGATGGTAGCTTTTTAACCGGTTATTATTGAACCGAGCCGTCATTCGTGCAACCTTCATCGAGTTCCGTGAATGTTGCGCAATGTTGTTCGAACGAACTCGTTGAGTGTGCGGCTCTAAACTGACACCAGGCAGACGACTCCGAGGCCGGCGACGATGGTGAAGCCCGTGGTGAACGCCAACATGAACAAAACCTTCCGCGAGGTGGTGGGGCGCTTCGTGGGTGCACCGCCGCAGCTGTCGCACAAGCAGAAGGTGCAGCGTGTGTACAAGAAGTCGCTCAAGACGCTGGACTCATGGGTCATCGACCGCCGCCTCTGGAACGAGGAGGCCACCAAGATCCGCGCCGAGTTCGACGCCAACAGCAAGCTGGACCCGGAGTCTGGGTATGTACCAGTGCCAACTATTGAGTTTTCGCTCTATTGCTGTGATTCCGGTGGTCTGGTCGACTGACACATACCTTTGTCAATTGTTGATTTTATAAATTCAGTCTGGCCAAGCGTCTGGTGCGTGAAGCTCAGGAGAAAGTGGACCACTACACGCACCCGGACCGCTATATATTCAACTACATGCCCGGTGGCAGTCTCTTCATGCGTAACGCGCCCATCCCGCTGGACGTGTGTTTCCCGGACGGCAACATCCCCGAGGACGTGGAATTGTCGCCGCTCGAGGGCATCAACATCGACATGACGCCACTGCCCGCCAAGGACACGGTCTTCGTCGACTTCTCCAAGAAGGGCTACGACTAAAGTGCAGATGACACAAAAGGAGTTCATTGTTATCTTTTTCTTAGCAATTGCAACGTGAGAAAAATCAAGACAGAAATGGGTAATTTGTGATTTTTTTAGTTATGTTACTTTTTTAGAGTTTTTTATGATGATCGTTCAAGAATATTCTAGCTGATCGCATATACGGGACTTGGTCACAGCAGTGTTCAGCCCGAAGTCGCGGTAGCGGAACCCGTTGAAGGAATTGGTGAAGGTGTTTGGTCGTCCGAGTCGCTCCACTTCGACCTTGAGCTGAGCCTTCTCGGCTCCGATATCTCGACAGCTCGTGGCGTAGAGCGGATGCTGACTGTGTGCTTGAGTGATCGGCTTGATGTCGATGGACTTGGGCATGATTTCCTCGGGACGGAGTGCGTAATCTTCCGGTGCAGCAACGTCTACATGTCGGATAGTCACAACGCCAGAAGCCTCCACCTCGTTGTGTACAGTAGGTTTGTCCATCCGCTGGCTGAGTTTCAGTCGCTCTTGTGCTCGAACACCTTCGCCTAGCGCTCCCGATGTCGTCTGGTACATGAACTCAGTCAACGAGTTGGAAGATCTTTGCTGTCCAGTGCCGATGGGATTGTTGCCGCGAAATCGAGGAGCGTCGTACGTCACGTTTTCCTGAAGATCGATACCAACGATCCCAGAGCTCGTCGTCATGAACGGGTTGTTGGTACGTCGACTGTGGTGGACGGAAGAGCCTCTCGAAATCATTCTCTCTGCTGCTGATTCGTGTGGAACTTGTTCGAATCTCAAATGGCCCTCATCATAGAAATATCCTTGCAGGTCAACGCTAAGTTTGTCAAATTCTGCTGCATATTAATAGGATAGCGGCTCCATTATCTCTATTGTTAGACTGCAGTTTTGAGTCAACCAGGGATCATTTTTATCTATTGCTAATCAAAGCAGAAAATAAATAATTGGGTTAGAGAACTGACTTGACCAAAATAGATTATTGAGCTTCCTCAACTCAGAAAATGGATTATTGGTGCAGCAATATTGGTTCACAGCGTGGGCAACAAGTACGAAAGAATGATTGGCTGGTTCTACACCGCCCAATAGATTATTGGTGCTTCAACGGGAGCGAAAATAAATAATTGGTCTTTCTTCTCCAATAGATAATTGGTGTTTTCCTATTGCAATAATTGCGGCACCAATTTATTTTTCGGCATCCCTTTGGATGTAGCCATGTTCTCTGTGTGTTTATCAAGTGTGATTGGTCAAAATTGATGCCGATGGTGGGAATGCTGGAGCTGTGGCAGCTCACATGGCTGATCGCCGTGGCCGGCGGGCTGCTCTCGTTTCGGAGTAGTTTCTGCAGAGGGTTCGTCCTCCAGGGCAAGATGCGCACTGATGCTGCGGTGTCACAACTTCCCGGGCTGTCGTTGCTGCGTGTAGAGGTGCCCAAGAGTTACTGGACGTGGTTCTACCTAATCGGAGCCCTGCACAGTATCTTCATGCTGGTTGTTGCACTCTCTTGGCAACAAACGCAAGTGGTGCAATATGCTCTGCACCTTGCACACCCTTCAGCAAGAGAAGAATCCAACGATATCATCTTGATCCAGCCACACACTATCGCGTTCCTGGCGCTGTTTGCAGTGCACACAACACGGCGCTTCCTCGAGTCTTTGCTTGTCACGGAGTTTGGTGATGCCAGGATGCACGTCTGCAGTACGTACGCGTCATTTCCCATGCCTACTTTACTACCACATTAACGATACATAATAGTTTTGTTCGTAGGCACGTATCACTACGTTGCAACGGTACTCTCAGTTCTTTTCGATCCCGACTCCGTTACGGTGCATCAGATGACGTTATCCCGTTGGGCTTTGGCTTGCGTTGGTCTGATGCTCTTCTCCATTGCATCCTACCATCAAACGCGATGTAATTTCCTTCTAGCAAAGCAAAAACGCGCCAACAAGATGAAACACGTGATGCCTCACGGTGACTGGTTCGAAGCTGTGCGCAGTCCGCTCTACTCGACTGAAATCATGCTCTACGCGGGATTCCTCTTGGTCACTGGGGGCTCAACCTCAATGCTCTATCTCGTGTCCGCTTGGGTGGCTGTCAACCAGATTCTACTGGCCCAGATCAGCTCCCAGTGGATCGAGAACAAGTTTCGGGATCGTATCAATGAGCTTCCCAAGTGGAAATTACTGCCGTTTGTCTGGTAAGCTAAATTTCTTTTTTTTTAATAAACTCAAAGCTAGAATCGCTCAAGAATGGGTAAAATCTATTGGGAACTTCCCTCTTCTCTCCATAAGCTGATTCACTTGTCCCCTTTCTGCTTCTTGTTCGAGGGCGTTTCGGCCTCTTTGGTCTCTTCGTCACTGTCACTTTCTCCACTGGACTCACTCTCGCTCTCCTTCGTCGGTTCGTCTCTCTTCCTCTTCTTCTCTTCATCGCCACTCTCATAGTCTTCCTGCTCCTGCTCGGTGGCCCACACCTGCTTGATGTCCTCCTTCTGGGCGGCTTCCTCTCTTGCGATCTGAATTCTGGCCAAGTGCTGTCCGTACTTGTTACCGAAGATATTGTGGTACCCTCCAGGTCCAGAGGCGCAACCTCTGCAGCCACTGTGCTTCTCCTGCACTACCTGCCCCTCCGACAGCTGCTGTCTCGGTACGCGGCAGATACTGACAGTACCGTAGTTGTAATTCTTAGTGTTGATTGCGAAGGTGCTACACAGTCGCTCGTAGCCCGGTTTCTTCCACTTGGCGATGAGGTTGGCATCCACCAGTTTGCGTCGCACACAGTAGTCGTACACCTCACGAGAGATCTTTTTGTACTTGTAGAACATGTCGTACACGTAGCGGCTGCGCTGCCAGTTGATCTGGTGCACTGGCCACAGCGCCTCGCACTGCCGCTTGCCCTCGTGCGGCTCGTTCATCTTTTCACGCAACTCGCTCTCCAGCGCGTCCATTACCGGTTGGATGTACTCATAGCCCGCTGGCGCGCGGTTCTTCTTGCTCCACTTGGACATGATGTTTGAAAATTGTTGGTCTAAAACTAATTGTGCGCTTCCAAATAAAGCCTCTTCTGGAATAAAAGCTGCTCTCTATATTCGTATCTATTCTCTGTTTCAGATCTTGTTTGGTCTAGTCCTAATTTTAGAATTTCAAATATTTTGAAATAAGGAATTTGGTTTTAAACAAATCATAAATGTTTTAAAACAAGTCAGAAATGGATTCTAAAGACCATCAAATGCGAATAAAACCATTTTAAAATACACGAATACTACTACATGTAGTAGTAGAACGTAAGAATTACATTAATGATTTTGACACTATCTACATGTAAGCTTCAGTAGCAGGTGCTCAACGCTTTCAGTATCATTCAACGGGAGTACGTCGGTAGGAAAAAGTTCTTTAGCGCTTGTAATAGATCTCTTCGAACGAATTACTAACCTTGAGAAATGAGTTTTCAAAAAGTGGAAAAGTGCTTGGTCTGTCAATTTACCTGACCCAAAATGTTGAACGGAGCTTGCGTACAGTGTAAGTTGCAGTGCATTAAAAACAGCTCACCGCAAGACACTTTGCTGAGAGCAATGTCGATGACGCAGAGCTGTTTCATGTCTTACTGGCCACGAGCTGCCATTCAAGTGGCATTTCCCCCTTGCTGTGTGCACTCTTCCTACATCCACACAAATACCTGTGCACGCCACCGTCCTGTAGGACAGCTGCTTGAATTGAGCGCATTGCTTTCCGTTATGTGTAAGGGGTGTTATAACGCAACAATGCACATTGAGGCTTGGTCACGTGGTTTAGTCACGGATGTCGGATTTGTCACGGTTTCAGTCGTGACGTGGTTGTGCAAGCTTCCGACCCATCTGCAATCCACGATTCAGCGCGTGAAAACTGACTCGACTCTTAACATACGTAGTGGACCGATTGAAAATGAAAACCATCAGCACTTTCTCTAGCTGATGAGGAACATGTAATGACGTTGTCCTAAAAAGCGTAAAACGCTACCTGCCGCGACCGTTCTCTTTACCAAGGTTTCTTCGGATGGTTTCCGGGAGCGGTAACTTGTAGCATGATACCGCTCAAGCTATGCTCACTACAGGAGCAAATTTTTTGCTAGCAACAACTCTGTAAAGGCAGGCAATTGTTTTTGTTCGAACGAGTCGCTCTCACCAAACCACTTCCTTTTTCTCTTCCTCGGTAACACAACTTACACAAAATGGCGAGAAATACCTGGTGGATCGCTGGGTTTCCGTTCCTGATAGCTGTCGCTGTCTACGGATATGCCGCTCCGGAGCCGTGCTCAGGAATCTGCACAAACGCGCACGATCCGGCCATCATTCGTCGCCCTGATGGCACGTATTTCCGTTTCTCGACGGGTAACAAAATCTCCGCTAGATATTGCCGGTCCTTGGGAGTACAAAGGATCTGCAATCCCTGACGGGTCGATCATCGACCTCAAGGGCAAAGACGATTTGTGGGTACGTTTCAAGTGACAATAACTGTATCATCTAAAACAAACTGACATTTTTATCCTCAAGGCTCCGGACGTGCATCAGCTCGGAGACTGGTACTATCTCCACTATGCTGTTAGCAGCTTCGGCTCCCAGCACTCCGCTATTGGTGTGGCTCGGTCCAAATCGATGGACGTTGGGACCTGGAAGGATGGCGGTACTGTCGTCACGAGTGACCCGAGCAAACCGCTCAACGCTATCGACCCGAATCTCATCCGCGTCAACGGTGAATTCTACCTTAACTTTGGTAGTTCATGGCAGGATATTTTTCAGGTTCATCTGAGCAACCCACCAGTTGCACCCAGTGCCGCAATCGACCCTTACCAGATCGGCTTCACATCCGACCGTGAAGTAGTGGAGGGGTCATACCTTTTTCACTACGGAAAGTACTACTACCTCTTCATGTCGAAAGGTAAGTGCTGCGGCTACGACAAGAGTCGGCCAGCTCCAGGCAAGGAGTATCGCATCCTCGCTTGCCGCTCTTCGAAGGCCACCGAAGGTTTTGTCGATAAAGATGGCGTTGACTGCACCAAGGGAGGCGGCACTGTTGTGCTCGAATCACATGACAACGTGTATGGACCTGGTGGTCAGGGGGTCTATGACGACACGAAGCACGGACCAGTCCTGTACTATCATTACGGTAAGCCCGCCTTGCTCATTTTTGACAAAATATGTTTGTTCCTCACTTTTACTTGTGGCTATAGTCGATACGAAGATAGGATATGCAGACGGACAGAAGCAGTTTGGATTGATATCTCAAGTGGGTGGCCCGTTGTGTGAGCTCAAGTGGACGGACGTTTCGATCAAAGGTGAATGATCAGCTTGATTACGACGTTAGTGCAGTGCTTTATAATTGATGTTAGATTTTCTTTGCAAACCCGTTTTAGTTCTAGTGGAGTTCATTACTTAGATGCGTTGCTTTGGACAGTTGATTATTTGCGTTCGTTTTGAAAAAAATAAAAGTGAAATACATGTACTACAGTACAGTAGTAATTCAAATTTATGAATTTTAGAAATATAATTTGAAGTAATATTTAACCTTGCTGTTGGGACAGACAAGCAATAAATGGATGGCCCAAAGTGCAGCCGAATAAGAAGACTAGACCTTCATAGACATCGAGAAAAGGCGAGCTGTTGCAGCATGCTCAGCCAAGACAAGTGGGTCCAAGTGAAAGCAACAAGAATCGCTATTGGGCCAACTTGCTGAGAGCATTCACGGATAGACGAGTGGCCAGCTGGAGATATTACGCCCCTATGCTAATTATACGAACTTGCGCTAGCTTATTATCACTGCTGCGGATGCCAATTTGTCTTTACCAGTAATGATGGGCGGCTTCTCGCGTTGGGCAACATTCACGCAACACTTATCACAGAGCAAAGGGTCAGTCTGTGGACGCAATTGCCCACACCGCCAACGTAATAAAATTGTTGGTTGTCCTCCCAGTACTATTAAATGCTGTAATATTTCTTTAAAATATTGAATACTACATTTTAGCAGAAAGCAGTATTGTACTACAGTAAGATATTTATCATTTATTAATACTAACGTAGCCTACCAGTCCACATTCATACCGTGTGCTACCCCCTTCTCCTCGTCCTGCTGAGCTGCCATGTTGTTGAAAATATGCTCTAACGCAGTTTCGCTCACGCTGTACTCGTCCACGTTGAGATGGGCGCGAGTTTGCTCCAGCGCACGGAAGATTCCAGCCGGACGCAGCACCGCATCGCTGTCAGGACGATGCTTGGGCACTTGGAACCGAAAGTGTTCGCCTTGTTGCTCTGCGAGGATACTGCCCGGGAAGTTGGTCTGGAAGAAGCTCTGCAGTCTCTCGCCGTGGGTCTCAGAGACCCACCACGAGCTCAAAGTGTCGACGGAGATCGCCCCCTGAGCCTCCAGTTGACTGCCGAGTAACCAGCCAGTGCCCGAGTGGGTGAGGATGCGAGAACCCCGTTCAGAAGCCCCCAGCGCAGTGCACAGCTCTTGAACGTTAGCCTTCGTGATCTTCTCCGCAGTGGCGACTTGGAGGCTACTCGAACTCTGTCGACTGGTTCGACCACGTCGCAGTGAAAGACTTCGCTCCGCTGACAGGAACGCTCGAGCTTGTTCCAGCACACGTTTGAGCTCGTCCGTGTCCGTGTCGGAGGCTCGTAGCGTGATCTCCACTGTGAACCCTCGACCGAACTTCTGCTTGAGGTGCTCCACACTGCCGAGACATTTGAGTCGCCCACTCACGAGAATCCCCACGCGAGAGCACAAGGCCTCGCACTCTTCCATACTGTGCGTCGTGAGCACCACACACGCGTCGGACGAGCTCACACGCGCAATGACGTCCCACATCTTACGTCTCGAACTCGGGTCCACACCAGTCGACGGCTCGTCCAGGAACACGACACGAGGGCGTCCGAGCAGCGCAATGGCCGTCGACACCTTCCGCTTGTTGCCACCGCTGAGTCCTTGCGTCAGTTTGTGTCGATACTTGGCGAGTCCGAGCGCCTGGATCTGCTCGTCCACTGCCACGTCCACGAAAGCGTCGGGGATGCCTTTGATCCGAGCGTACAACTCGAGCTGCTCCTTGACCGTCAGCAGGTCGTGGAGAGCGTCGAACTGCGGACAGTAGCCCATGCGTTTCCGCGCCGCAGCCGAGCTGGTGGCCAAGTCGAAGCCGCTCAGCGTCACGTAGCCGTGCGTAGGCGCCAATTGGCCTGTGAGCACAGCCATCGTCGTCGACTTGCCAGCTCCGTTGATGCCCAAGTAGCCGAAGCACTCGCCACTCGGGATCGACAGACACAAGTCCTTTAGCGCAACTTTGGCCCGTGGTTTGCCCGCGTATTGCTGTCGTAAGTTGCGGATAAACACGAGGTCGTTCGGCGCCGGCTCGTGTTGCTCCACTCGATGACGTTCCCACTGCACGTCGTCGTCCTCTTCTTCCTCTTCCTCCTCCGTCTCCATGGCCACGGAGCTATGCGCAGACTTCGTCGCTGTCTGCTTCCACTTAACCGAGCGATTCTCGAGTACAAACACCAGCACAGACAGCAGCAACGCCTCCGCCAGCGTGTACAGTAGCGGCGCCCCGACGATCTCCAAGTCGAACGGCTGTCGGACGCAACACGACGGGCCGATGCGGTCCCAGCACTCGACACACTCGTCCTTGCCCAGGCCTTCGAAGAGCCCGAAGAAAGACGGAGACGTGGACGTCCAGCGGCCGGAACCGAAGAGCGCTCGACGACTCACTTTGCGCGTGGCCAGCTCGAAGATGCCGCTGTTCAGTGTGTAGCCCGGGAAGATCATGAAGACCCAGCGCAGGTAGTTGCGATCCAGAGACGAGAGCGTCAACGAGCCAGCGAGCGAGAAGTTGACGATGCGACAGAGGAACGAGAAGATGCTCAGCAGGCCGCCGGTGCCCAAAGCGAACACGAGCAAGGCCGTCTGCGCCACGGCGTGTTTGACGTAGCGTCTCGAGAAGAGGTAGGCCAGAGGGACGATCGCCCACACGTGAGCAACAACCAGCGCGATAATGGCAAACACGTCGCTGGCGCTGGCCTTGTCGGCGCCACTTGGCGTCATGGACAGCGGGATGACGATCGCAGACGCGACGATGGGGACGATCGTGACGAGCAGGTCGTGCGTCCAGCTGGCCATCCAGTAGGCCGAGATGTTGGCGCCGCTGATGAGCTGCAGACTCTTGGCGTTCTGGATCGGGTCTTTCTCTCGTACGACGAACGCGACGATCGCTGCTGGGATGAAGGCAAAGGCGAGCATGACGACTAGCGCCACTAAGAAGCCGTTGAGCGTCACCTGCAGCTTGGCGTTGGTCTTCTCCAGACAATTGTTGTTGAAACACGCAGTCGAGCCGCACGTGTTGCACGGATACCACGGAGACGCGACGTTGGCGGCGTTGCAGCACGCGCTGACGTCGCAGTCGACGACTCCCAGAGTGCAGTAGTCGAAGCCCCGGGAGCTGACACACGCCGTCACGTTGAAGTTCGGATCTATCAGACTCGACAAGTTGCTGGACGCAGCGCACTGACTTTGCTGCGTCTCTGTGGGCAGGTTGGACGCGTAGTTGGGGACGAAATCGGCCACTTGGATCTCCGGTAGAACAGCCAAGATGATCAAGAAGACGAGCGGGATCCCCACCGAGTACGCCAGCGTCTTCTTGTCCCGCTTGGCGATCTGGAAGCGTTTCCTCGTCAGCGCCCAGTACTGCGTCCACATTGACGGCTCCGTGATCGGTGGCGCTGTTGCCTGCACGTTCACTGGCGACACCGCTTTGGGTTTGCGCTGCTCTGCTTCTTCTTCTTCGTGGTCTTGGGAAATACGCAAGAAAACCTCCTCCAAAGTGGTGACCGAGATGCCATACTGCTGCACTCCAAGCGTGGACGTCTCCGCGTCCAGCTGCTCCAACATGGAAGGAAACGCGTCGGAAGAAGCGGCGGGAAGTTGGAACGCCAGCTCCGAGCCAGAGCTGCTCAAGCACTTGACTCCAGGGACGAATCTCTTGAGGAAAAGCTCCACTTGCTGTGGGTCACACGAGCCGTCCGCCGTCTTGATCAGAGTCAAGTTGTACCCGGCACCGAAGCGATTCTTGAGGAACAAGGAGGAGCCAGCACAGCGCAGTTGGCCGTCGGCCAGAATGGCGATACGGTCGCCCAGAATGTCAGCTTCATCCATGAAGTGCGTGGTCAACACAATGACGCGGTCCTCGCGACTCTGCTGCAGTAGATTCCACGTGAACCGTCGAGAGTACGGGTCCATCCCCGACGTCGGCTCGTCCAGGAATACGAGTTTGCTGCCGCCGAGGAAGGCCAACGCGACACTGAGTTTGCGCTTCTGGCCGCCCGAGAGCGTCTTGGCCAGCGCGTGGCGAATCTCGGTCAATCCTACGCTTTCGATCATTTTGTCCACATTGAGTTGCAGTTGCTTGCGCGGTATCTGCTTCATCGTGCCGAACAGCAACAAATGCTCTTCAACTGTCAGATCCTGGAACAGCACGTCGTGTTGCGGGCAAATGCCGATCACGCGTCGAAGGTCGTGGAAGTCGCGCCTGATGGAGCAGCCGTACAACGTGGCGTCTCCCGCGCTGGGCGGGATGAGACCCGTGAGCATCGAGATGATTGTCGTCTTGCCGGCGCCGTTGTGGCCCAAGAGAGCTGTGATCTGGCCACTGTACATGGCCAAGTCGAGTCCTGCAACGGCAACTCGCTCCTCGCCGTCTTCCTCTGAAGGGAAAACCTTGCGCAATCCTCGGATCTGGAGACACGTGCCGTTGCGCTCTTGCATCGCTAGAGTTGCATTCACCGGCTCGACGTAGGCGTTCACACTCGGTTTGGCTACATTCTGGTCGGTCAGTTGCGTGTACACCCCGCCAGCTTGCGGCGACAGGATTGGTGTGGCGTAATTTTCGGAGCATGTAGCCATCTCGTCGTCTTCGGACTGGCCCATCTTGTCAACCCAGTAGCTTTTCGTAAGCAAAAAGTGCCACGGTTTCCGCACGCCGAATTGCTGCGGTAAAACCTGCTCCAGATACCATCCCAAGGCCACAAGGATGACCGAGTCGAGGAGAAGGAAGAGACTCATCCGGAACGCGCTTGGGACTGTGATGGGCTCTTCCCGAAGACCCACCGAGTAGGCGAACCCCGTGCCAAGTTGAGCTCGACGTAGGAGCTCGTCGACAGCCAGCGCGAATGCTGTGGGAGGCGAGAGAGCGGCCCAGTATCGAGGCGCGTTGGTGTCGGCGGACTGCACCGCGAAGTAGGGGAAGAAGAGGATGAGCCACAGAAGAACCGACGCGATGGCCGCCGTCCGGGATTTGTTGAAGAAGGGCGCCACAAAGTACGCGAACGCTGTGATGGCTACACTGAGAGCCCAGAAGAGGAACACGAGCGTCGCGTACTCGGCGGTAGGGAACACGTTGCCGTATTTGAGCACGGCGGCAATGGTAAAGGCCAGTGGAGTGGCCAGTACGGCGGTGGTTAGACACCAAGACAAGAGCAAAGTGGCGTCGGACAAGCCCATGATCTTCATGACTTCTCGAAGGCGGTTTTCCTTCTCCATGACCATCGTCGTCGTTGTAGTGGACACAAATTTGATATAACTGACTAGGAAGAAGAGCCCCAGCACCGACTGGCCGCCAGTGTAGAAGGACGTCATGGTGGACGACGGTCCGCCGATTGCCTCGAGCCCCCAGACTACCAGGTCGCTACAAATGAGCGTCGAGTTGGCGTCGAGTTGCGCCGCTTCGGACGTGAACCACTGGGATCTCCAGCCGTCGGCAAAGTTGTCCAGGTTTGCCAGCAACAGCAGCGCCGTGGAGAGCAAGACTGGCAGGAAGAGCTCCATGAGTAAGCTCACGGGGCGCCGTCGACGCAGTATCATGTTTTTCCAGACCAGGTTCGTCACTTGCGCCCACGTGGCGGCAACTTTTGCAGCGAAGTTGCTCTTTATCTGTTTGTAACATCTTGCAAAAATCGCGATTGCTGCAACTGCAACTGCTACAATTGCCACGACGGTGATGAGAATTGTATTGGCAGACGAGATGCCGCCGTCGCATTCATTCTGGTAAGTGAAAACGTCGTCAAACAGCTGCTTGCAAGTTGTCACTGCCTGGGACGAAGTATTGCAGGCTCGAAGTGACGCGGCAGCCGCACAGCAGGAGGCTGAAGCCGATGACGTTTGCTCGGAGCACATGATGCGGCACACCGAGTCCCCGCTGAAATCGTCATCATCGTCGGAAGATCCGGCGGAGGAGAAAGATGAGGAGTTGCGGTCCTGGAAATTATCCGGCAGCAAGTCGAAGAGCCCCGAATTGGTCACGCACAGGCCGTACGCGATGTCATTCTCCAGGACAGTCGTTACGCAATCGGAGAGCGCCGTTAGCGTCGCGCTTTCGGCATCGTCGGAGGACCCGGCGTCGGCCATGGCAGTTTTTTCGATTGTGAGATGGAGGATTAGTGTCGGCTAGTGAATTGATTAACGGAACTGGTTACGCAATCGGCTCCATGAGGATTGGGGGCTGTGAAAAACAGTATACTTTGATATTGGATATGATAAATGATCAAACCTTTAAGCAAAGAGACTGTAAAAATAAATGTACTGTAGGATGTCATAATAGGGTCCGGGTGAGTTTTACTGTCGCTTGGCTCGAAGTGGACACGGTTTACTTGACCTCCGTGTGACTGCATGCCAACGGCGCTTCGCCGTTCGTGAGCAGTTGTCATTTATGACTGTGGATTCTCCGCGTTGTGCCCACTCTTGCTAATGCAACATGTTGTGCATGTACTATAATACAGACTGTAGCACAGAGTTGCCACGCACAATGTGATGTGGGACAAGGTGCACTTCGACTGCGATATCTTTCAGATAAAATATAACATGTATTAACCGGTATCTTCAGCGATCAAAATCTATTAAAGAACTTTAGTTTCTGGAATAACTCAGGCTTTGGCATAAGAGTGTTCTTCGTCCAGAAATATATTCCAGTGGAATAGCGAAGGGACCTGGAGTTATTCCAGAAACTGAAGTTCTCTAATATAAAACACATCTGTGTAATTAAAGCCGAGCATGTAGAACAAATAGATTCACGGCATGCTGCCCATGTCAATATCAATACAGGTACTACAGGCTAGAACGAACTGCGTGTCGCGAGTACCGCGTATTATGCCACACTGAGAGCGTAATGCTCTGTATTACGCTAAGTGTGACACTGTACTGTATTTAGCAGCTGGACCTTTTTTTATTTTGACCACTGCAATCATTCAAAAATTGAACTATTGGTCCAATCAACGCAGCCAAAATTAACTACATGTAGCTGGAGAAAAGTAATGTTGAACTGCATCGGTTGGCACTCCCAACTGCGTGCAAGAGCACTGCATACGAACAGCTAGGAGTACACGCCGATTACATGTACCGATAAAAACATGCAAACGTACGCCTTCGTTCGTATACTTTGTGCCGGCCCTTAAAGGCGTTTTTCTGCAGCTTCGTCGGTTCGGTGCCAATTTTAGAATGGCGACTTGAATCCTACACACTGCACATGAAAAACTTAAAGTTCGTGTTAGCCCTTGTGATGTTCCATGAAATGAGCATGTGACGGACTTTAGCCATTGCGGTACTTGTACTTAAGCTTCGGCGTCCCGCAGCCGCATAGATTGCTCGGCGAGCACAGCGCTTGGTAAAAAAAAGCTTCATTTATTTTGTAATCACACTGGTTTTTAGTCATTTTGAAGAACTAAAGATTTGAGAGATCAAGATACGAAAACATTTAGCCAAGGAAGGTATTGCTCTGGTGTAGTGCTTCGGTACGAAGCAAGCGAACAGCCCAACAGGGATTAATTCGGGTTCGTGCGAAGTGTTCCACACCCGATTCCATGCATTACAAACATTAACATATCGGGATGGATTTTAGCGAGGCAATAATACCGTTTGATGGCTTAGGAAGGAAACATGATTGTCTGTATGACACTTTCTAAATATTTGAATAACTTTTTAAAGTGAATCACAACAACAAAAACCATCATTGTGACGAAAATGCAACCGGTGAAAAAAGTACTTTTAAGTCAAAACCGTAAAAAAATTGAAGTCGTGAAAGTAGTTATTAATACATGGCATCGCACTGAAGAGACTCGGTGTTCCAGCAGCGACAGCGTCGGTATAAAAGCAGTTAAAGGCGCACTTTTGATCCAATTCTAGACTTTGATACGTGATCCCACATAGATCGCTGCAAAAACCATATACATTCATGTATTAGGCGGATGATGTGGTGCACAATTCTGAAATTTCGAAGGATTCGGGCAAAATATTTCAAATCTAGTTTTTTGAAAATAACTGACTTCCTAAGGTCTCTACTGTGACCCTTTCAGAAGCTGACTTTCAATACAATCGGATTACAATGGACAAGCTCGGTACGTACTGTGGATGTCAACTGCCAGTGTGACCTTGCCCATATTTGACTGTTTTCTCTAGTATCATGTACAGTATCAAGCTGTTATTGTGAATTTCGACCAAATTTGGCGTTTTGGTACAACATGAATTCAACGAGTCACTCATTTTCAAATTTCCTGTTTTATAGAAGCGATTGAGTTCGTACTTAAGTGGCCGTGGTGGATTCCAAATTAAGCCACGCAATCAAAGAGAAGAACGAGGGAAATCCCCATTCTTATCAAGTACGACAGAATATCACGATATACGAGCTCATCTTAGACGGTTTATCTACGTGGGTACATTCACTAAATGCGAGGAGTCTACTCTTACGGTATGCCAGCACACGTGATGCATGTAGCTTTGTTTGATTGCCGCCTGCAATTATTATTAGAGCGACGCGATCCACGCTTTACATCTGCAGTACATGTAATGCAATTTGAAAACTTCTGCGGCAGAATTCATTGCATAGGGTTGCCGGCTGTCGTAAATGAACTTATCTCATAATGACGTAAAACTAGCTTGACGTTAGCTGCGACCTGTTATCATGCTTGCATTTGACCGGCGTTTTGATCTGTTGGACTGCTGATTCAAGCAGTGTTGATCAGCGAAAGGAGCTACAGTCTATAGCCGAGAGCAACGACAAAGGTCTCTGCCGCGCTGGCGTTGCTACCGGGTGCTGATACACATAGACGCGTGGTATGTAAAAAGATGTCAAATACTGTAGGAATGGAATGCAAATACTTACCAGTACCGGCACTTTAAACATGTACCGGTATCTCCAGATGCTGGGTCCCAGCCTGGGAGTACCGCGTAATCTTGAGATTTGAACGCTACGTTCACTCGAACGGCTCTTTAGCCAACGAGAAGCACTCGATGTTTGCCTTGTATCCTAAGAGAGCTTCGAACAAAATCAAAAGTGGCTGGTCAAGGGTTGCCGGTACATTACTGTACATGTACACTGTACCGGTGTATCACTCCAAAGTGAATGGCACTCATGATTACTCTGTGTCCGTCAACCGGCAATCACTTCAACATGGATACAGGCTAAAGAAAACCTACGACTATTTATATTATTTTTCTATTTACTGCAAGTTCAATCCTTACAGATGATTCCTTCTAAATATTATATCATGATGTGCTTGCTTCAGAAAGCTTGATTTTCGAGTCAAACGCGAAACAGCCGGCGAGTTCTGTCGCATGGTGCGCTTCAATGTCGGGCAATGTTCCACTGGAACTTCCAGCGCCATTGGTCAGATTATGGTGCAAGCTGAGCGGCGTGCGACAGCCAAAGGAAGCGCCCTTCCATCGGCGCCATCATCCGAAGGCATTCGCCGAATTCCGATCCGTTGACAACCATCGCCCCGTCATGACCGCGCAGTCGCTGCGGACGTCCTTGGGCAGCAACGGCCACACCGTCGGCGACACTTGTATCGATCTGTATGCGGAGCGAGTCATGATTCCTCGGATTTCGCTCTTCTCGCTGCTCACAGGACTGTCGGTTCTCTCGATTCTCTTCATCCGACACCGTCGCCGACGCACGCGGCAATCGGCGAAACTGTTGCGTGAAAAAGTCGTTCTCGAGTCCTCGGAGGACCCACACACCACCCGCAAAAAGTGGTTCGCTTGCTTTCTCGCAACAACTGTGGCGTGGATCACCATCTTCCTTTGCACCTTTAACTCGTCCACTGCCAAGACGTCCACTTCCATGAGCTCAGCGCAGGCGCGTCCCCGAACTGTCTTTAGCTTCACAACAACCCCACGGGGCATCGACGAGATGCTGCCAACGGTGGATGCACTGGTGCATCAGGAGGGCGACGGCTTCGACGCCGTGTACGTCATCGTCCCACGGACGTATCGAGACAAGGTGGTGGACATCCCCACCTGGTTGCTAGCCGACGCGTCGACATTAAACCGAACCGAGTTCCGTGGGGTCACATTCGCCACTGGAACGAGTCCGTACCACCACAAACTTCGGATTATCGTGCTGGATACGGACTTTGGACCGGCGAGCAAAGTACTGGGAACGTTGTTGGTAGAACAGGACCCCGAGACGATCATTGTGTACGGCGACGACGATCGCATCTACCCGCCCCAACTGTGTGAACGGGCTCTGCACTACACGCACAAATACCCGAACGACGCCATCGCCGTACTGGGTGGGTGGATATCGGCAGAGGACGGACTGTATTGTGGACGCAGCCTCGCAATCGGTGTCAATAGCGTTTCGTTTGTAGGAGGAGCAGGTGGAGTTGCCGTCAAGCGGAAGTTTTTCGGAATGGAGGAGGCAACTTTGCCAGCGTTTGAGGTGGCAAATATGTCAAAGGCGTGTTTTCTGGGTGATGATTACTATTTGTCACATTTGCTTAGCCGAAACGGCGTGCGTCGACGACTGGTGGCTGACAGCTGCTGGAACATTGAGACGCTCACAGAATCGTTCTCGCACGGCGGACTCTCGTACGCTCCGTCGGAGCATCCGGGGGGAGCCAACGTGGAGCACTACCAGCAGTGCATCCGAGAGCTGGGCAAGGACCAAGATCTCTCTCGCGACGGCGAGTTCGGGTCGGCCTACATGTTCCTCTTCTCTCGCACGTGGGGGGCTATTCGAGGACTGCGAAATCTCTACTTTGGCGGGGAGTTCGTGTCGTGCTGATGGAGTACAATGCACGCTTGTGTACAATTAATAGTAGCAGTCCTAACACAGATAATATAAACCACAGTATTCGTGGTCTGGGGTCATCCGGGGATGAATGGCAAGCTGCAACATCGTAACCTAGATATTGTGGCGTGCATCTCCAAGTAAATTAGCCCCAAGGGAATGCTCAGTCTTCAATTTGCAGTACCCCCGACTGGATAAGTAATCGGCAACATCAATGACGTTTCGCATTGCACTGTTGTCCATCACCGCCGTTTTCTTCAGTATGGAAGTTGCAAGTGCGATGGAGGGCGAGCTTCGACTTTACAAGGAGCCGCATTTCAAGAGACTTCGACTTCTCGTCAAGATTTCGGAGGGAAATCGCTGCTACGACATGGCGTGCGATGACATCGGCAACGTCATCTCTTCGGCTAGGTGGACAGGCCTTCCAACCACAGGGTCAACGTTCGCCGATGGCTAAGTCAAGATTGCCTTCTACGCCGGTAAGAACTGCACCGGTAAAGTGACGGTATTGAATACGAACGTCGGTGAGGCTCCAAACTTTGCGCACTCCGAGATGGATAACGCCACCGCGTCTATTGCGGTGCTTGAAACGTCGAACGCGATGCAACACGCAACGAAATATCTTTGCAAGTGGTGAAATTACCTTTTTCCGCAATTGAGAAAGAAAAAGTTTTTTTCTTCGCAAAACCTGACAAATAAAACCAAACATGTTACTTGTACGTTGCTCTACGTCAGAAGGCGTGGCTTTAATCACAGTGTTGACTACATGTAGATTCTAGGGCTTGACGACGCGCCAGATTTTCTTGGCGCTTCAAAGAGTACGCCGGGGATTTTTCGTAGTCGAGATATCGCGGATTGATGTTAGGCTTCCGTGGAAGAAGAAACGTTTTCGCTTTTCTCTGGGTTGTGTACTCAGCTGCACGTTGTTCGTTGCGGAGCTGGGGCTGGTCATGTGGCATGGACTCAAGCATTCCCACCTTCATTGTTGCAGCATGTAAGGCAACTCGAGGTGTCCATCCTAACTTCGTGCCCAAAGTCCACTCTGCATGGCGGTGTGCAGCAAGCCATAGCCGATCGCTCACATATGCTTGAAAGTGCGATGCTTTTATAAAGCCAATAGCGTAAACGGGCTCTTGCACGAGTCTTACGAAGCGCTGGCTGCGTTCATAAGAGGTTGAACAGGACCATGTTGCTGTAGCTTGTTGTGGAATGTGTTCCGAACCGCAGGCTGTGACCTTCAAAGTGAGGGAGACGCAGACGTCATTGACCGTAAAGGTGAAACACACGGAACTGGTTCGAGCTGTAGGCTGGGAGATTAAGGCGTGATTGATCATGGCTTGTTCGCTGTCGTTGTCCTCAGTGGCGGGACTGTAGGTGGTGCCACGTTGGCTGCATATTCAGAAACGTTTGAGAGAATTTTTTAAATCTACAACTTTACACGTGCAGTCTGCCACGAACCGGAGCAGCCAGAACAGTGTCGTAAGGAGGGCAGAAGCCATCGCATGGGATGAAATGCACATAATCTCGAATGCCTGTCCTGGTGAATCTTATTTGGTAATTACACTGCGTAAATCTATACCGAAAGGACGCGACTTTGAAAAATGATACATGTACACTGTGTTGCAGTGCATGTTCAAGTTCTTTCACGCAAAACTGGCAAAATACTGCTTTGAGAGGGTTCTTGTGACAAAGTTGCCGTACACCACGCCACCGAAGAAAGGAAGTTGGCGCTCGGTCCGAGTGGCACCATAGCCGGCACCACCTCCACCTTGGCGGAGATAACGAGCCGATCTCGAGGATTTGATCTACTTCATATTTTGGGAGGCTGAAGCCAGATGGATGTCCGACATCAGCCTTCTCAGTACGTAGGTGCGTCGCTTGAAGATGTGGTCGTCCTCAGTCATCCACTCCAAACGATGTAGACGCTTCAGGAACTTCAAGAGACGAGCAGAACTTGTCGAGAACGTTGTTGGAGCGGAGTAGTTTGCTCTTGCTCTCGATGATAATCACCGCCTTTTTTTAAAGGAAACTTGAACTTGATCAATCCAGCACCGTCGCCAACGATCAGAACGCTGTTGATTACTTAATAAAATACCTAATGGTTCTATAAATTAGACTGCTGACGCAGCTTCGCCAAAGTTGTTATTAGGGTATTTCAGGGGGACTGCGTACATGCTGAAAAGTACTCATAGGTCACACGTTTTTAGGACCTGCCACTATTTTTTGTCGTCACAACGATTCGTGCACTTCGTTACGCTGGCCTAAGCGAATGACTTGGCCACTACAGGGATGGTGGTGTCATACCATACGAACAGCGTCTTGGTGTAATCTGCATCTTGGAGCTCGCTTAGCATCCAAGCGCACGTCTTGACCTTAAGCTACAGCTTTCAAAAGCACTTGTAATAAATACCCAAAGAATTGTTTTGAAATTTGGGAAGCACCCACAGTTCACAACGGGGCTAATGCAACGCTTAAGTATCTATCGTGCTATTCCAGCCATGTTTCTTCATAATCACTGGCCCTTCCGCTTTGAAAAAATAAAATGACATGACGGAGTTTTATTCCTTTTGTAATAAGGTTAAAACTCCGTCATGTCTTTTATTTGGGATGTAAAGCAATCAAAACAAAGCAACATTTTAAGCATCCGTTTTTGACAGTAACGTTACTCGATGTTTTTTTAATTTTGAAAACTCCGTTAATTAAGGCCGTGTTCGGTTTGCAGGGGCAAATCCAGCTTGTTCGAAAATAAGCTAGAGCTGTAGAACAGTCGTTTTGTTAAGTAAAATAAAGATAAAATAAGTGATCGTGTTCCATCAGAAAAAGGCTGGATTTGAAGGCGCAAAGCAGGACGATTCAAAATTCGGAAATGCTACAGTCCATGCGTCAAATCCGCTTATTAACCATGTAATACTCCATGTAATGTCCATGATGTAAAATATTTTCATTCGGTAATTTATAAAAACAACCCAGTCGTTGAGTGCAATTATTGTCCAACTCTCATCCGTGTATTGTCCACGATGTGATCTATGTAGTTAATACCGGTACAATACTGTATACCGGTAGTTGTACCAATCACACCAGCCTTTCATTTGCTTTTCAAACCCAAACTCGCCCCCCTTCGAGCATTGCCGCCGCCGCCGCTCCGCTACCTGCACGCCGCAGCCTACGTCACGAGATCAACCGTTGTTGCAATCGCCGGCCATGTCGCTCAGTCTACCCGCTTCCGCGACGTCTGAGGTGCGTTATCTTGCTGTTTGTGGTCTCTGTGAACGTGTTTCTAACCGTGCGTTATCTATTTGTAAATACAGGGTGGATCGTCCGACTCCTCTTCAGATATCGACACCACGGCTTCCGCAGCCTCCGGTGCGGCTGCAAACTCGGACGACGCCTCGCCTGACACGGACGATTTCAAGCGTCCATGTATTGTCCAGGTTGTAGACTGTCCCTCCCTTGTGGAGGGCCCCGCAGACGTGACGTATCCGAGCTGGTCGGCGTGGAATGAGTATTTGAAGGCTTACTCGGTAAAGTCCCGCCAGGTCATCCGCATCCAGTCAACGCTTAGTTGCGTATTGAGAAACAAGCGGCTGGGTCAAACAGCGGCAGCAAAGCAGGGAATGGATGTTCCGTACGTACCAGAGACGTGGGGTGCTTACCAACGCACATACATCTGCACACATGGCTGGCCAGCAAAAGACAGGAGCAGCGGATTGCGAACCAAGCACTTCGTCCGAGGATGCGGTTGTCCATTTCGATTTGTGGTGCAGCTCGTGCAAGTTGACGGCTTATGCTGCCTTCGCGTGAAGAACGGTGTGTACCAGCACAACCATGCGGTGGGGACAGCGCAGTTCAAGACGTACGCGGAGAACCGTAGGTTGGACGACACGGACACGAAGGATGCTGTGGACAGCATGGTGATGTACGGTAGAAAGCGCGCACGCATCTATGAGTATCTTCTGGGGAGAGGCGAGAACCTCGTCAAGAAGGATGTGGACAACATTGTGCAACGTGTTAAAGCAGAGATAAGAGGAGGGTTGAAAAGTTGTGTCCGTCAATGGACCGATCCAGACAGACGGATACAACTGCGGATTCTACGTAATGTTGAGGTTTTGGCGATATGTAGACAAGAGTGTGTCGCTGGACGTAACTCCGATTGGTCTAACGCTGTTACGCTTCCGCATCCTTCACTTCGTGCTTCACGGTAGCAAGCCATAATGCAACTAATACAATCTCATTTCTATTGAAACTGGAATCGACCCGCCTAATGTTCATGCGTATGGTTGACCTCCTGACTTCTGTATACCGGTATGTACGAGAAATGTCAGAGGACTTTCGTTTGCGAAGGTCTAACAACTTCCATTCACTATGGATTTTGAAAAAAAGTGGTAAGTAATTTATTTCGACACATGGACATTACATGGAGTATTACATGGAAAATAAACTGAGTCGACGCATGGACTGTAGCATCGGCCTTCAAAATTCAACCCAGAGCTAAATTTTGAAACCAGTCGTTTGGAGCTATCCTGCTGGATGTCATTTTTTGTGTTTCTTAGCGGAATAAAGCTGGTTGAGACATTCCAGCTCTTTAATACCAATTACAGCTGGTTTTAGCTTAAATCGAACACGGCCTAACTGTTTTTTAATCCTATCCCGATATTTGGACTTTTGAAAAGTGGTAAGTCTACACCATGATGCGCTTGTAAATATTAATACGACAGCATTTTAGTGTAAAAGATATAATCTATGAGCTAACTTCTCCAGAATTGTAATGTCTCGAGGTGGAGATGTCCGCTGCAGACACCATAACAACGCAGTGTAAGAGATTAACCATCTCGTAAAATACGCACGATTGTCAGCGTAGTTCAATCACTGCCACTTCCGTCATGGTGATACTTTCGACTAGAAAATATCTGCGACTTCGCTACTGAAGAGCTACGACAGCGGATGACAAGCAATATAATTTTTCACAGATGGCTCATGAACCTGCTCGTCCACTACGGTCCGTTGGATTACAGCTGTATTTGCCTCCAACAGAGCAAGTCAAGTACCAACCTTCCAGCGACCAAGTCAACGAAACAGCAACGCAATCATGAAGTTCCACGCTTTTCTCGTCGCCATGATGGCTGTCGTCGGTGCTGTCGCCGCTGCGGACCAGCCTTTTGTCAAGTCGGCGGCCGAAGCTCTCGAACAAGCTCAAGCGTCCGCGTTACCCGATGGCGTCGCGCTCACGGGTGAAACGGAGAAGATCGAGCCTCCTGCCAATGCCGCTGCAACGATCACAAAAGAAGACCACGGTGACAGGGATGACAACGACAACGGCAAGGACAAGGACGACGATAAGGAGAACTTCGGATGGGGTCTCGGTGGAGTTCTCGGTGGAGGCTTCGGTGGTCTTGGCGGCTGGGGACTCGGTGGATGGGAAGGCTGGGGCGGTTGGGGTGGCTTTGGGCCCTACCGCTTCGGATTCAGGTGCGGCGGTGTCCCCGGCTGGGCCTATCCGTTGGGCTACTGGAACACGTTTGGCGCAGGTCTGTATGGTGGCGGGTGCGGTTTGGGCATGCCTTTCGGTGGTCTCTACTACTGCTAAGTAGTGAGGCTGCGAGTGGTGAGGCAGTGATAGATTTCCGCTTACCTCCGCTACTTTCCTGCTCAATAAGGAAGTAGTGTCCTAGGCTGCCTCATTAAGAAGAGGCCTTGAATCAAACATGTTTTTTTACTTTCTTGAAGCTTGGAATGATTCGTTTGCCAGAGAAAAAAAACTAACTGCTGCGAACATTGACTGCCCCTAAAATTGATAGCTTCAGTGCTAACCATTCCTATGAAAAATAGTAAGCCTGGGTAGCAACTGTTGCTGTTGTTAAAGGAAACAATCATTGAATATCTGTAGACACTATGCTGGATTTCCGACGCTTAATTGATCTAGATCTGTTCATGGAATGGTAGTCGGGTATGCCGTCTGCTTATAATAACTCCTCCATCTTTCAGTATCGAATACATATAAATATTCGCGAAGCGGACGCATGTGGTTTTCATGACAAGGAGTGATAGCATGTCATCTGTTGCCACAAGAAATATGTTAATTGTGATAAGGTAGCCGTTACCGTAGACCGCGTCGATAGAGGCATTTGATTTGATTCCTTCAACGAGATAATTATCGAAGCCTGAGATCACGCCATAGCGTTTACTAAGCGCGGAGCCTGTGGCAGTCTCAAACGATGTGAGTTGTTTCATGTCAACAGTCGTGGATTTTCGCTCAGCAGCGTATTGCCTCCTTTCCAGCTCTGCACGCGTCGGAAGCACTTTCGAGCACACGTGTAGACCATGAGATACACCAGAGTTGCGAACATGGCAAATGCAGTGAACAGGACGACCACCTTACGGTCCACAGTGGTGCCGTGCAGTCCAAAACTTTATAGGGGCCATTTTAGTGAGGAACGGACTCACCGTAATGAAACCATCCCAGTAATCAGTTTCTGCAAAGCCCACGACAATTTTTCTGAGCGTGGCCGACAAGTCCACGAGCTCGACACGGTAGGCGAAGCTGCGGCAAACGCCACCACCGGGTCGATTCTTCCGCAGAATAAGTAGCTCAGGACACTGGAAATATCTAAGGAAAAAGTGAGTAGATCGGCGTGTTCAAGTTCTGGACGCAACTTAGATAGAGTGCCGATCTCCAAGCTCGTTCTCGATAGCGAGACAGAACTCCGTCAGCGTCCAGTATCCGTTGAGGTGATTCGATGCGAAGATCAAAACTCCACTGTAAATTAACGAGCTGGCAATAATAGCGAAGGCATCCCCTACCCAGAAAATTTCCCTTACGAAACCGATGATATTATACGGAGTCGTTACTGCGACATAGTGACGACAACACGATAATGGGCTGACAGCAACACAATGTTGCTCCGTAATTTATCATTACTTATCTTTCAAAAACATTTGGAGTAGCTTCGGGGAAACTAATGCGAATTTCTGTTTGCGTCTAAGTACGAAAAAGTCATGTTCCCGTTTAGATACGATGTGCACTTGCCTCTCATTTTGCGTAAACAGAGGGGGAGAGAGGCCAGGAGCGCAGCGCAAGCGGCCGAGGATGACACGGCAGCTAGGGGATACCAGGAGAACAAGGTACGACATAGCTACGTGCGCCTCTTTGTAGGCTTCAGCTAATGCTTTTATTCTAGTGCGTCGCATCGGCTTACGCCCTGTGCAGGCAGTCGACTACGTGCGAGCCGTCCAGGGTAGAGCCAAAGATTACTCAATCGACGAGGACTGCAAAGAAGAAGAAGAACGCGCTAACGGCGGAGATGCGGGCGCCGTCGATGTTGTGGTCAACGCGGACGATGTGGACGCTGTGGACAATGTGAACGACAGACGATGCAGACACAGAAGCCGTGGAATACGACGACGCAGACACAGAGGCCGTGGACGACGATGCGGAACACAGAAGCCGTGGAAGACGACGACGCAGACACAGAGACCGTGAAAGCCGACGACAATAGGCTACTCGGGGATTCCGATGACGACGTTGACGACCGTATTGGAGACGACAGAGCTGCCACCGGCTCGGACAATAGGCTACGTGCGGACGCTGCTGTCGATGTGAGCACGGGTATGATATTATGTTGCTTTGCTCGTGCTGTGTTGCTTGCGTGGATTTGCTAATCAGTACGGTCTGGTATGTTGCTATGCAAAAAGACTTTGACAGGACCGTACAAGAGTTCATACGCGCGGCTAGAAGCAACGCAGAGGCTGAAGCTTCTACGCAACGCCATCCTTCGTCAAATGCACCGTAAAGAAAAGAAAAGAAAAGACGTCATGCTCCAGACGACGACGCTACCGGAGGGAATGCATCACTACGCAAACGTGCCAAGTAATCGTCGGTAGAGATGGGCTCTGCTGCGCTTACCAGTGAAACGACGATATTGCCAACCCGCCATCTGGAACGACGCAAAACGAAGACATGGGAAGCTCGAAAAAGATGGTTGAGGGCCACCAGTCTGTTACAAACGAGAGTCCAGGACTTCCTCGCAAGACATTTAAAAATTGGGAAGCCTTCCACACAGAGTTTGATCGCTATCAGGCCGAACACCTTGTGCTATATCGCATTAGAAGCTCGGAGACCGGAGCTACACACAATCGGTAAGTGGCATTTCATTTGACGCATTGGGTAGAAATACTAATGTGTGCTGTACTTTGTGTTGTGATTGTCGCTGCTCTTACATTGCTTAGTCGGTCTGGAGCGACGCAAATTCCGGCTCACTTGACACACAGCTTCAAGAAGCTGTGGTGCACGCATGGCACAGCGCAGGCTTCGCGAGGTGAAGGGCGTCGTCAGTGTGGTCAACGTTATACCGCGTGCGAAGCCAGTTTCGTAGTTCGCTCGGTGAGAGTGGTGAGGGACGGAGCTGCATCGTGGAAGGTTTGCGTGATTCCGAACTCGAAGGTAAGCATTGTATGTTTTATTTGAAAGCCGAAGTCTGACTTGTCTAATTTCTGTTTAGATATCCACGCACAATCACAAGACAACGAAAAACATCTACGATTCGTACTGCGGTGTGAAATCCATGCCACTGCCAACTGACGTCCGCAAAGATCTCAGTCTGATGATGGAGATGAAAGCAAGTACGGCCGCGATCGATCGATACCTGTCGAATTCTCTTGGTGGGTGTCGCTGGTGAATCTGTTGCTCCATTTCTTGTTTGCTTGTTGCTACTGAGCTTTGCTATTAGGTTAATTGTTGCATACACTGAAGCGTCATTATGGTCCGTATAGCGTACCTGACTGAGCCTCCATGCTTCACCCCGTAATTTTACGAGCCACTGTGCAGCTCAACTTTCCATGCTGTCATGGAATCCACCTACATAGATGTACTAGTGCCATTTATGAAAGCCTGGCATGATAATACGATGCCTCATATGGAGTACCCGGTCGAAGAAGAAGGCGTGTGGCTCGATGCGCCTAAACAGCCTGATGGAACGTCGTGTGGAGTTATGGTGATCGCTCAGGTATATGCCATGCTGAAAGACAGCTTTCAATTTTCCAATACCGCCCCTACAGCCGATGACATTGCCGTTATGCGACTTCGTATCATGTGGATGATACTTATGCAGCCAGAGGTGAGTACGGTCGCTAACAGAATCGCTAGTGCTATTGCTCAAACTGACCTAGAGCTAGCTGTGACAGTAATTACCAGATAAGAATCTTTCCAATGTCCTTGTTAGATGTCTAAGTGTGCCTTCTCTTCATCCTTGACAAGACTATTGATGTTCAAGCAGAGCCTCGAAGCATTATTCCAGCAACACTGAATACGAGGGCACATATCCAGTACCAGCGTCGACACACCAAATGCTGATGCAATACAAAAAATCTCATCCTTTTCGCGCGAGATAATCGTTGCCAACTCGTCGCGCTCGTTCAGCAGTTTCAAGGATACTTGGCAATTTTCGCGAGTTTTTCTTCCATCACCTCGATCGCTTGGAGCCTCGACAGCAGCATCTGCTTGCAGACAATCATCTTCTGAGCTGGGGAGACGTTGGCATTGTCTTCATCGCTCGCAGCCAAAGGCGTTTCACGCGGCAGTTCGCCCTGACCAGCGCTCGATTCATCCATTCCTGTCACTGAGTGCTAATGTAATGTGAAACCAAGTTTCAGAGCTGTTGTAAATATCTCAATTGGCGTCGGTAACTTCCATCTTTCCCGTAATTAATTCCTGTCTCCACAGAATATGTTACCGCCGATTCGACACTATGTTGCATGTTATGGTTCTCCTTGTGTGAATTTGCCTGCTTGTGTTGCCACAAGAGCCGTCGTGTTGTCGTCACTATGTCGCAGTAACGCCGTCCGATATTATACACCACGAAGAAGAGAGCACTGAGATATCAAACACGATGGTGACAGCGAAGATGCCGTGGATGCTGTGTGTTCAAGCCCACGAGTCCCGCAGAGAAGATAAGGAATGCCATCCCCAACTCCTCAATTCAGACGCTGGATCGTTCGGGAAATTCCAGACCACCATCTCAATATTCGACTGGGCGATGGGGTCGTCGACATAGCTGCCAAAGCGGTAAGCTGTGCGAACTTCCTTCACAATGTCAATGCTGTTCGGTGGTGGGAAATTTTTAGGAATCCAATAGTTTTCGGTATCGGTAGTTAGTAACTCGTTACTGGTAAAATGCGGCTCGGACTCGTATGGGTAATTGAAGACAGGCAAAGCTGTGGGTCACTTGAGTGGCTCGCATGTCGCTGATTGGAGCGATTGCCACGAGCAAGGCAACCCCACTCTGCTACTGTTAAACTACTTGGAGGTCCTGGGCGCAATGTACGCAGTCTCGACGTGAAGAGAACTAGAACCGTGTGAAGGAAATGCCGTACACGGCAGCATCAAACCCTTCGATCGCTGTGCATGTGGTGAAGGAGTGCGAACTGTTTGTCACGAGATAAATCGTGTCGTTTCGTACAGCAGTGGACCCTTTGCGCACGTTTTGTACCAACGGACTGTCGGCGATGGCTCCGTCTCGACGATGAGTGCGGAGCCATGTACCGTGGTGCCCATGTACTTCGTCTCCAGGCCACGCAGCACCGAAACGGAAGCCAGGAAAGATTGGATCGAGATGGACATGTACCACGAAGAACACCACCACGCGATGCAAGAGATGGAAGATCTGACCTTGACGGCAGTCATGCTTATAGCGGTTGTGCTCAGTAATTTTACTATTTTGACTGATAAGAATGTTTATTGACATGTCAGAGACTCTACGCTTTGACCCGTCTACTCGATTGGTGCTAAGAGATCACAGTCAAAACGTTTTGAGCTCTGGCCAGTTGCTAATTGTCCTCATTGGTGATGTCTTCGCTTGGAAACCCGTCGTCGCATCGCAGAAGTGTGACGCCCGACACACGCATTTATCAGGTTCGTTGTATGGCATTTAAGCGCTTGGGCTTACAGACTTCGATCGTCTAATATCGTGTTTCCTAGAGCGACCGATTCATTCCCGCAAGATCCGCTAGAGATTTGGACTTGTGCCACACCATGATGGCAGACCTAGAGCTCGACAATTCTCACAGTCGTCCATACAGTCACAGTCGTGTCATGGCCTCGTACGAGGAGCTTCTGGATGCCAATTATCTGCCTCGTCGCAGCTCGTTCTCCCAACCAAGGCCACTCCTCGCCATCCGGACGTCGGCAACTCGCACCGGGCTCAGCGTGGCCAGCCGCCATGGCTACCACGCACCCGAGCAAACCTCTCTTCGTCTAGACCATTCATCGCCCAGTCTCCCGTCGTCACCTGTACAGTCCATAGACGCCCCCGGTCTTCGCGACGATAATCTGCTGAATCTCATGGACTGGGGGGCCAACAACTTCATCGCTATCGGCCTTCGCCAGGACGTCTTCTTGTACAATCCCCTCGACGAATTCATCCAGACAATTCACGTCTGTACGAACCCAAAGGACTACGTCACGTCCGTCAAATGGGCTGACAGCACAGAGACCAACTCTCAGCTCGCAATTGGGACTTTTTTATCGGAACTGCAGGTTTGGGACGTCGAGACCATGACGTTGACACGTTCGCTACGTTCCCATAAAGCGCGTATCGGCTCGTTGTCTTGGCGTGGAGTTCTGGCCTCGGGGTCTCGACACGCGATTCACCTGAGCGATGTGCGTTGTGTTCGACATCTCGTTGCGAAGTTTGTTCATCCAGGAGAAGTCTGTGGCTTGGCGTGGTCCCCGGACGGTGACATGCTGGCGTCGGGGAGTACCAAAAACAGTTTATGTCTCTGGGACCACACAATGTTGCGCTCAAGGTGCCCGCGATCGAAGCACGAGCACTGCGCTCCGGTCCAAGCGCTCACGTGGAGTCCGTGGCAACGACGTGTCTTGGCTTCGGGTGGGGGCACTCAAGACGGCACGATCAAACTGTGGCAAGCAGCGACAGGGAAGATGGTGCGCTCTGTATCGACGGGACCCAACGTCTGTGCGTTGGCGTGGTCCAGCACGACGCGACACCTTTTGTCAGCGCATGGAGACGGCTCTGGCCAACACGAGGTCGCGCTGTGGACGTTTAAAACATTGAACAAAGTGCACGCGTTCACGGGTCAGTCAGCACGGGTTTTAAGCCTCGCCGTCTCGCCTGATGGGTCGACTGTGGTCTCTGCTGCAGCGGACGAAACACTGCGCTTCTGGGATGCGTTCATGTCGAAGGAGTCCAATTCTCGCTGGCCTAAAAAAGTATTAGACACTTGTTGTATTCGCTAATTAAAACTGCTGTCATAATGTTTAAAACACAACAGCAAATGAAAAAATCTCACGCACATTTATTTTGTATCATCCTGAAAGCCTACTGAAATACTACGTAGTATCGGGAAGAGAAGGCACTTCGTCCGTGCAGTTTTTCGGGTCTCAACAGGCAAGTTGCAGCCTGATAGTGTACACACTTAGTGGGTTGGCGGCAACTTCCTTGGGTTTTGATTTTCTTCAGACTGTTGCGGGGCCTTTTTTTCTTCTCCTTCTCGTGGGCTTGCTTTTAGTACGTGGACTTCTCCGCCGTTTTTGCTTGGGTCCATTCGACGGGTGTGTCGGCTGGAGACTTATGTCTATTTCCTTGTCTGGTGTCTACGTCTTTTACTCTTGGTATTTCTATTCAACGCGCTGCTCCGGGATCCGCTCGAAGCGCCGGGTATTGGAGGCGCCACAGCTCATATTCTTGGGTGGGCCAATGTGGATGGAGCCACGGTAGCTGCCTCCGGCGAAAGAATTCTGCGGCATCCCCATCTGTGCCCGTCGTTCACGTGTGCAGATGTAGTGACCAGCCAAACCGTCGGCCGGGATCAAGTAGCCCAGCGTAACTGTACGACGCGGACCTTCACGTACCGACGGGAGGCCGTCCACTGGCAACACGGGGTCGATCTGGAAGCTCTCGTCGTTAGAAATAAGCACCAACTCGATGTTGAACATACTCGCAACGGCGTACAGCTCAGCGGTCGTGGCCTGTTCATCGGACGTATCGCGGAAGGTCTCGTATCGTTCTCGCACGTCTTCCTCGTCCTGCATTAAGAAGCCTGCCAGTGCCTTAATATGTTCCAGCGCGTATTCCATGAGCTTAACCCTTAGAAACTGCGCCGCAGCCACTCGACGAGGGGCCATGCCGTCTGCGGCGCCTACGTTGACCACTGTCATACTGGCAGGGTAGTCTCGAAGACACTGCAATGGGTACATCTCGTACACGATGCAGTGTAGCAAGCAGGAGCCGTCGGGGGGCATTCCGACGCCTACAAGCCCCATTTGCACCAGCTGATCCTCCATTTTGGCTCGTTGCATATCCAATTCAGGTGTAATGACATCGGGCGCTGTCATGGACATCATAGAACCTCTCGAGAGCGAAGCCATGGACGCACGACCTGTTGAATCCGATACAGTGGACGAGGCCGGGAACCAGCTCCCTCGAGACGATCCTGGCCCAATGGAGCCTGCGAAGGAGCCGCCACTACTGGAAAAAGATGCGCGGCCAATATTTTGAGGCGCTGTGGGCCTGGCGAAGCTCTGACTGCCTATAAAACCCGTTCCGGACCAGCGGTAGTCGCTGGCTGTCGAGGCGTGGGAAGAGACCGTAGAAATACTGGAAACAGAGCGGAAATCATCGTCGTCGTCCCCCATGACACTGGCCGTGGCCTGCACCACCGCGGGGGACGCTAAAATGGACGAGGAAGGCCGCAGATTCGAATCCTGCTGGTCGTAGTCGGCGTTGGCGCCGAATCCCGAGTTAAAACCCACGAAACTCTTAAGTGTCTGGCTGCTTACGGCTGCCAAGTGGAAAGCTACAAGCTGAGGCTTGTGCGTCACCACGTTCATGTAATTATCGAGTTCCCTGGCTCGGGCGCCGAGGAATTCGGGGCTTTTATCCACTCGGAAGAGCGCTCGCCGACGATACAAAGGCGGGAACTTGACGCCTTTCATGAGCGCCGCACTGCGCTTACGTAGCTGCTCGTCCAGCTTGCGGAAGGCTGAGAAACTGCGCCAAATGTGCCAACTCGTGCGTCCTGTGGCGTGTGCGCGGGACGAGTAGAAGGAGAGCTGGACGACCACTTTATACTCGGCCTTCTTGCTGCTTAGACGGTAGTCGTCCACGCTCACAGAGCACGCGTAGTCGCCCTGGATGTCGTCGGGCGTCATGGTCAAGTAGGCCATTGGAGCGGACGAGGGGACGGGACGGAGACTGATGTCCACGGAGTCGGAGGAAGGAACTCTGACTTGACGACGATCGCAAGGCGACTCGATACAACGACTGGCGCGGTTTTTGGCCTATCCCCGACCAGCTCCGAAGTTCCACCTTCTGGACGTACCACTTTTGATTGATGTACTGCTAGGCAATTCGTCTAAGAAGGGGATTAAATATATCGGATATGCTAGCTTAGAATACTCAAGCGCATTCATAAACAGCACATAGATTTGAGGGTATTAGATATAGAGGTTTATTAGTAACGCTAGGTATCGTCGATTTGCTTCATTTTTCTTACTGTTTTTGGAATAATTGAAGTTGTCCCCCAATCGCTCGACAAAATTTGCTTGAATTTGGCGACTGGATACATATTTGTATTTCCAGTGGGCTCCGTTAAAAATTGTACAGTACCAGAATCCAACACAAGTGCAATCCAGGGACCGTTACGACTGGGCAGCGACGTGTGCGCCAAGAGCTTGAAACTTGTCGAACGGGTTGCGATAAGTGGCTAATAATAATAGCATTTGGCTGTAGAAACCAGTCGTGAGCAGGGGGCATCTTTAACGCAGCTGCGTGATAGTACTGTATCTGGGTGCACTTCAACACGGTCTCAGCTCGGACTCCGAGTCGGAGCTGTCGTCGTTTAAAGCAAGCTGAAATGTGGGCATGTTAATTGCCGCTCAGCGAGCAGCGATATCGTACAAATCAATGCTTGCATCATGTGTGGAGTCAGCGATATCAGCGTTGCAATCCCAGCGCAGCGTAGCGGCGACAAGAAGCGCTTCAAACGTCGTTTTGTTACATTTATGTAACAGAACATCAATTTTGATTTCATTTTTGTGTGACCTGAAATAAATGGAGACGGAGTTGCTCGAGGAGCTCCGAGCAGCGCAGGAGGAGCACAAGCGTGCTCTTGCGGCTGCAAACGAAGTGCGCGGGACGCTCGACCACGCGAGGAAGGAGTATGAAGACGCTCGAGCCGGGGAAAAGGCTAGTGAGGATGAATTGGTGAACGCAGCGGAAGCTTTAGCGTGTAGTCTTCAGGGTATCGAGTTAGACGGGGTCACAACGGGTTTGAAAGCTGCAGTGCCTCGTGTAGTGACCTCTTTGGTGGAGTACCATGCGAACATCGGCTGCTACCAATGTTATCTCTTCCTAGACGGCCACAAGCAGGGCAACAAGCTCGAGGAGACTTTGGATGTGGCAAAACTTCATGTTCGCGTAGATTTCCCACGCGTGGAACTGACTTACAAGCGCCAAAGTGATGGAGAGTGCAGTAAGGAAGATGAAAAAGTTGTGTGGTGGACGGAGATCGAGCGGAACGTGGATACTTCTGAGTGCGCATTGGAAGATAAGGAAGATCATTGGTATCTGCGACTCCCGATCCGGCTGAGTGACAAGCAGCCACTGGGCGGGTTCTCCTCGTTCACACAAGTGTCTAACGTTGAGCTACAGCCGGATAGCTATGCGTCCGTGTGTTGTCGAGGCTGCAGCGCTCAGCTGCTTGGAAGTACCAGGATCGAGAAGGTTTTGCCGCTGCCATCCGCCAATTGGATGGACATGTTTGACTTCTGGGGCGCAGGCATTGGCGCCTTCGAGCACATCCCTCGCGATGATATTCATGCGCAGAAGCATCGAGTTCTTGTTGGAGAGTCGTACGTCCTACTGCATGCTAGTGACTTGAAGGCGGACGCGACAGTAGCGAACCGTGAAGATGCGACTGTGGACAACGCGAAAGAAGACCACGAATGGATGCCGCTGACCTGTGCTGCGTGCTCCGAGCGTGTTGGCCTGTCTAATGTAGAGCAGCCAGACACGGTTCGTCTTCACAAGCACTTGATCAATGCTCGTAAGCACTTGGAATCTACTACAGAGGAGGAGGAAGAGAACGTGTTTGCCAAATACACGATCGACAGCATCCTCAGTGCCAAGTTGCTAGAAATGGCAGATGCGGATGGAAAATTTCGGTTTATCTTGACGTCGAGCGGCAAATATGATCATGATTTTAGGGAATGTAGCCATTCTCGTCCTGTCCCAGGTGAGATTTTAGCGTCAGAGTTGCAATTGCAATTGCTCAGCTGGGAGACGATGATCAAACAACAAGATGCGACCAAATTCCGTCGCGTACTGAAGGTTCTGTATGGCCCTCGCCAGCCAACATCCGCGATTCCTGGACTCTTGCCTTCACACGAAGTGGCACTTCCAGCAGCCATGTACTCAGCAATCGCCCAGCGACTTGAAACCAGCTCGACACTGTTGCCGACTTCATTGCGGGCATTGAACCGGATGAGTGTTGGTTATTTGTTCGCTTGACTATCACTCTGAAAATGTAAATATCAGATGTCCAAAATGCAAAAAAACTAACTGTATTATTCCTACACGTAAAAAGAGAACGCGTGCGTAGAACTGTACAAAACCCACTTACTTGGTGGGCGCCCAGTAGTCCATAATATCCAGAGCCACCTCGCAGCTCTCACGCACGACCTGGACGTCGTCCTTCAGGTATTGCTTCAGAATCTTCTCGCATTCCGTTGAGCCAATCGCTCCTAGCGCCTCAGCAGCTTCGTGACGCACCATGCGGTGTTCAGTCTCATCGAGCAACACCTTCTTGAGTGCCGGTACAAGCACAGGGTTTTCCATCTGGCCCATGACGTAGGCCACTTCGTGCTTGAACAGCGCGTTCGGGTCCTGAAAAGCCTCCGCCAAAGCGAGCGCCGCCTCTTCCGTGTTGCGATTACGCAGCGAGAACATGGCTCGGTATCTAGCGAACATATCTCCATTGGGATCCAGCAGAACCTTGCGGAGTTCGGCCGTCGACACGTCCTTCTCAGCGGCAGGAGCCGGGTCCTCAGACAAGTACGGGTTGCGGTCCACCTCTCCCTCGACGACCTCGCCCTTGGCCTTCGCTAACTTGTACTTGACCAGAGTGACTGCCAGTTTGCATGTGTCCGAGACCTCTGGGGCCGGATCCGCGCTGTATTTCTCAAGCACAGGCAGAGACTGGGAAGCGCCAATGGCACCCAAAGCCTCCGCTGCCTCGTGGCGCACCATGCCGTCGTCCGCTTCGTCGGCTAGAACCTGCTGCAGCGTCTCGCAGGCCTCTTCCATCTGGAATTGACCGATCACGTAGGCCAGTTCGTGGCGCATGAGCTCCGAGTCTTTGCGGTTAAGGAGCGCAGTCAGCAGAACCTGCAGATCTTCGAGGCCGCCACGCGAACGCAAGTAGAAAATGGCGCGCGTGCGCTTTCCCGTGGGCTCCGACAGGTCCAGAAGCGCATCACGAAGCTGCTCGAAGCTCGGCGTCGTGTCAACGACGGTAGAAATGGTCTCGGTTGCAGACGAGTGTGACGGCATTGCGATACAACTGCAAGTCTGGGAATGGCTACGTCAGTGACTACCAGTCAAAAAGTAGTGAAAAAGAAATGGTGCCTTACCTTTTCGAGGTATTTAACCTAAGTTAAAGAAAAGTGCCTTCAGCCAATAAAAAAGGGCAGGACTGTTGATTCAATCCAAGTTGAAGTGGCTCGGTTGTGCTTGACCTTGAATACCTCGCTCTTCCTTTCGCTGCTCGGGTTTCCGCTACTAGGCTAGCACGGGCCGTGCTCGGGCCGAGCCGTGCTGCACGGCTAGCGCAGGGTTAAGGCCGGTTCCTAACGGGATCACGACGGAGCATGATCCAGTTAGGGTTAAGTGTACGTGCAGATCATGATTAATTCACTCTTAACGGGATCGTGACCCTTCGGGTCACGAAGCACAGACGTTTTGCTTCAGCAACACAAACCGGTGTGCTCGAGGTCTCTCGTTTAGCATGGAGTCCGCCGTCTCGACGGTCGCAGATGCCTCCACTAGTAGTGGAGCTTGTGTGAGCACACACTGGACTGCTGTACAGAAGACAGGCAGCAAGCGCACAGTTCCTCCGCCCTCGTCGGACGACTACAGCACTTGGACGGTAGATCAACTAAAGTTAGAGTGTACCGCGCGTAAGCTTTCTGTGGCGAAGAATACTAACAAGGCCGACCGAGTTACTATCCTTCAGGGGTACGATGAGTCCCAGAATGCCATGGAGCTGCTACTGGACCGTCAGCGGCAGGCCAAACGTGGTAAGGGGCCTTCTGCAGAGACCACTCAACGCAGAAGCAAGCACTGTTTGTATCGCCTGCTCAACGTACTCTTCTCTGAAGATTTTTTCGAGAAATTTATCACATCTGGTGACGCACTTACACGACGTGAGCTAGATGAGGGTGGTCGGGAGTTCTGGGAGCAGGTGGCCGAAGCTTTCAGTACATTTAACGATGACTTCGACCGTCTTGTGTCTCCAGACTCGTTGTTTGAGGGTATTGAACCGCAGTTAATTACGGCTCATTCCGGTGCAAAACTTAAGTCTATGTGGAAGGAATGTAATTCGCGTTTCGCCGCAGCCGAAGGAAGATGCAAATTATCAGGTTCACATGACGAATTTTGGCAATTTTGCCAAGGAGATAAAGTAGCCATGTACGTTCACCTGTGGTGTGAAGAACGCGGTTCAGGTCGGGAATTTTGTGCTACTTGTATTTACGAGGATAACGAAGATGACGAATCAAAAGAGCGGGGGGCAAGTGAAAAGAAGCAGAAAGTGAATAGGAAGCGGCAAAAACAAGATGATCAACGAAAGAGTCTCGATTCCGTTTCCATTCTCACTGAAGCTGTTAACAAACTCGTCGAGATTGAAGTATCGAGTGCAAAAGGAGCATTAATTGAGGAGAAAACCGCTGTTGCACGTCTTCAACGCGAGAAGATGGAGAGAGATGTATTGGTGGAGAAAATAGCCGCTGTGGATGGAATTTTAGCTCGTCGCCGTCAAGCATTGCACGACCTCGACATACGCATCTATGAGAACGGACTTAAAGGGATGGACGTCGCTGATCTAGAGCGTGAACGTGAGTCTGCATTTAGGCGCGTTCAGACTGCGCAGGAGAAATCGGACGAGCTTCAAGATCACATAATGAGGGACTAACGGATCAATGAATATTTGTTTTTACCTTAATATCCCGATTGGATTTTATTTACTTAAAGGCCTTGCTAAATTGTATCTCTGAATGTGCTCTAAAACCACTTTGCGAAAGATATGACCGTTTACAACCTGCATATTATCTTTACCCGTGTCGTCAGCTACTGTGGGCAAATAGCTGCAGTTTTCCATTGCGTTAAATTCTCTTGACGCGGCATTGCTTGGTCCTCCACTTTCCGGTTGAGAAATGCGCTCGTTAATGCAGTAATTATGTAATCTCATACAAGTTTTGATAACGAGCCCTGCATGTACATAGTCCACTGCCAGTGGCCTCTTAAATATTTGCCACTTATTAACCAGGAGACCGAAGGACATTTCAATTCGAATGCGTAGTTGGGATACATAAAAATTGTAGTCGGAATAATCTCTGGTTTTGATCTCCGGTTTCGTAAAGGGCACCAGCACGGATGATGACAATGGGTACGCGTTGTCACCGATGACATAATACCCAAAGGGTAAATTGGAGATAGCAGTGTGCAATGGCCACTTTTTAAAAGCAACACTATCCGAAACCTTTCCTGGTGAGTTAAAACAATAACCGGTAAATCTGCACGCTGCGTCACACATGGCCTGCACATTTATACCGTAGCACAAGTAGTGACCCGAAAAGAAAGCTGATACGTCGGGGACTTCATTTGCACTTGGAGCTTTTATAGTGCACAACCACCCATCCACACAACCAACACAACCCGTAAGAATGTTGTATGTACTGATATCTGCAAATTGTGATGCTGCTCGAGTAATAGATTCCATGTCGTAAACAGGAGCGTAATTTGATATCTAGGGTCATCACATATTGCATTCATCACTTCAATAACAGCAGAATAAAATTCAGAGGTGCTAACACCGGCCAGAGCTCGAACTGCATGATAAGAACCTCCAGCGAGCCATGATATAGTCATTTGTACCTTGTTTACTGGCGTTACAGGTCCGATACCAGTTCTGTTCCGTGACTTCAATTGATCGCGTTCTAAGACAGGCTTTAGAGATTCAACGAGCCGCTCGAATGCTATAACATTCATTCTATAATAACGATCGAATTGTCCTTCTTGCACTAGTCGATCTCGATGCGGCTCCCACTCCAAACGTTTGCGTGAAACAACGTTCGATCTACGTCGACGACGTAATTCGCTCACAGCAACTACAACGGCGAGACAGACCACAACGCGAGATACTTTCATTGTCTTTCTCATGAATGGTGCCCGTGACCCTGATCCCAAAGCGAGTGATGATCCCAATTTGGGATCATCGATTGTAACTAAAAATAAACATATGTATTTTTTAGCCAATCAGGTATCGAGTTTGTAGATCATGATCCGATGATGATCCCGTTAGGAACCGGCCTTACCTTTTCGAGGTATTTAACCTAAGTTAAAGAAAAGTGCCTTCAGCCAATAAAAAAGGGCAGGACTGTTGACTCGGTTGTGCTTGACCTTGAATACCTCGCTCTTCCTTTCGCTGCTCGGGTTTCCGCTACTAGGCTAGCACGGCTAGCGCAGGGTCTTGAAAAATGCATGTAGCAATGTAAAATAAACTCTTAGTTATCTTAAGGAAATTAGCTGCTTGTCTTAACGGCAAGATCGCAAAACGCACAAACCGAGTCTGCAAACACATGTATTCCCTGACTTTATGAATATACGTAGGGATAACACAAGATTTATCCTGAATATTCGCATCTCTTCTGAAAATCACATTAACCCTTTTCTAAAAGACCCCGCGATCGGGAATACGAACGAACCGCGTACAATCTGACATCCGAGGCAGACGGCCGTGAAGCGCAGGTGAGTGGCACTTGTCCCGTTGATCTCAGTTGCATCGCCCCAGTGTGGGCCAACACTAAGTGACTTGCATCGCGAGTGATCGGTCCACTTCAGTTTCTCACACCGATCTCTCCCACCGAAACAGAGAGAAGAAATCCCAACGAGAAGCTCAAAAGTCTTCTCGCCGTTAGGTTTATCAGATACCGTTGGCGATAAATTGCTGCCAGTACTCGAAATGCAGCTCTTCATCCGCTCGGTGAGTCAGCGCTAGTGCCTACGTGACATACCAGGGCTAACTACGACGCTAATGTGTGCAGGACGCAGGAAGGACACTGACGGTGGCGATAGCAAACCCGCGGGCCAAAGTTCAGGAGTTGCTGACGCTCGTGGAGGCCAAGCAGCAGGGTCTCTTCGCCCAAGGATATCTCAACTACGGTGGAGTGCCGCTGCGTGCGTCGCGGTCACTGACCGACTATGGAATCCAGAACCACGCCACGCTGCACTTGTCACGACGTCTACACGGCGGCTGCTTCGGCTTCTCCATCCTGTTGTGGATCATCATTTTCGTTTGCTGCCTCATCAGTGTCTGCACGTGCGGACTGTCGTTGCCGGTTGCGCTGTGTCTACTGCCACCAGCATTGCTCCTGCCGCTCTGCTGTCTGTAGCCAGATGTACTGAGAGATGTATAGAGACAGCTTTTGCTTTAGACGCGGCAGGACGTCCGTGGCTTCCATTCGTCTACATGTTCGAGCTGCGTTGTGCACACGTCCAGGACCAGACAAGAAGTTTTCGCGTATCAACAGCAGATATCTATCAACCCAAACGGGGCAGAAACCACACTCAAAAATCAATAAAAAAGTCATGTCGTCTTCGTCTTCAAGTCGCTCAGAGCTCCACTACAGCCTTTCAGCTATATCTCTGGCTCTAGTGACCGTCCGTTAGTTGAAAACGCTGGCACTTTACAGCCTGTGAGCGAGCACCTCTGCAGCTGTCTACTTGCGGGGACCAGCGCGTCTGCGACCTTGCGGTTTCTTCTTCTTGGTGTCCTCCTTCTTCTTGCTAAGCGCCTGCACTTTGCTCAGCAGTGGCGAGTTCTTGAGAATATCCGGGAGAATCACCAGCTTAATCTGCGAGCCGCGCACATATACGAGCTCGAGTTTGCTCTTCTGACCGTCGCGTTGCGTGAGCACCACGTCGCTCAGCTGGCAGTTCATGCTGTCCTCGCTCTCCGTCAGGTGGCCGCGGTACACCTCGCCATTCTTGAGCTCGATGGTCACGGTGCGGCCCTCGCCCTCGTGCAACAGCGAGATAGGAACCCCCACGGTCTTGGACATCCTAGCGTAGCTGCTGGTTGGAGATTGTTTCTATTGCAGATAGAAACGTTAGAAATGGTGTGGATGACAAGTTTCGGATTAGTGACATCACATAGAGAAGCATGCAGGCAACTCAAGCATCATTGAAGCTGTTATGTTGCGGCAAAATTTAACGTCAACTTATTCAACATTTTATATAAACCCATTATGTTCTAGGAGTTGACATTGTTGCACTCACCAAACACTCGTGCCGGCGCTGTAGGAGTTGCTCCGTGAAAAGCGCCAGCGTCTCTCGTTCTCGCTTGAGAGCCTCGCGAATGCGACGCACAGGCACGCGAGACTCATCTACTAGCTGCACAAGCTCCGACGTCTCCTCTACGGTATCCTCTACATCCTCGCTTTCATCAGTGCTCACGCTCGCCAGGCCGTCATAATCCCCGCTGTTACGCGACGCTGTATTCACGATGCTTGGCGTCCCTCGTTTAGTCTTCCACAAGTTGTGTCGAACGCCTCCGTGCAGACGCCGCGATAGAATCTGACGCTGCCAAGAGAGCGTTGTCGTCCAGATAGCTTCCGCTCTCTCCCTCATATCCTTCTCTTCCTCGTCGCTACTACAGCACAGCGACAGTGCTTTTATCAAAGAGTCTCCATCCGACACCAGCGCCTTGTTGTCGTCCACATTCTTGCCGTTCAAATCGCTAGTACTATCGAAGTCGCGTAACGAAGCACAGATGAGCTCGACAGACTCGCCCTGCTGAACGCGCATCGCTCGTAAAGTGCCTAGAACGATGCGTGTGTCCACAGAGTCCCGAATCTCCCAGTCGTACGAAGAAAACAAGCGATTCACGAACTTCAGCTCACATAGTGGAAATTCTCGCGTGATCAACTGAGTGAACTGAGAGCGAGAGAGCGTACAAGTCCCAAGCGCGTTGAGTGCACCCAGTTCGCTGGCTAATGCGAACAACTTCTCCATATCTTGTAGCACCGGTCGTCTACATGGCGTTCGTCGCATAGCGTCAAGAAGTTGAGCAAATGAGCGCCAGCGGAGCTTGAACCGCTTTTTATTTAACTCACTCGACTCCTTGCTGCGCTGTTTCTCAGGAGAATACCCCGGCGTCTGGACGATTGCCGACGCTTGAGTTCGTCGGTGACGCATCTGTGGATCAGCTTTCTGCTGCTCTCTGTGATCTGACAGCTCCGAGGAAGGTTCGAAGTGCAGTGTTCGACTTCGCCACTCGGTCATACTTCGTTGGTTTTGGATCTTCTCCTCGTGTGCAACTTTCTTCTCTTGTTTGGACATTTTTTGTAGTTTCTGGGTCGTCATCTGTTGTATACCATCTTGTGCTTCCCTGTGGGGTTGACAGAGTGAGTTAACGAGGGGCTTTCGTGTGTTTGGAACCTTAACTGAGACTGCAATGGGAGACGATGGACAACGTGTCATCGTCACTCGAAGTCTTGAGCCACTAGGATGGAACGTCTCTGGGGGCCAAAGCGAAGGTGAACCACGAACTCCGGTCACAAACTCATCAATGGGAGCCACCGAATGAGAAAGCGGTTCCAGTGACTCTTGAGAACGCCAACCGCGAAGTTTCGCAGTGCCTCGAGCTCCATATCGACGCAGCTTTGCATCTAAAGTGATGCCGGGCGGTAGCTGCTGGTTCAAAGTTGCAGTGGGACTAGATCCGTACCATGGTTTGGCTTTACGGGTGATGTCACAATGGAGACCGGGGGTGGAGACGACGCGCTCACTTTAATGGGCGAGGCGAGTACCATCCCAGACACCGAGTCATCGTCACTTCTATCGCTTTCGTTGCCCTCTTCGATCACACTCCCAGCGTACTCGGACTCTGTATTAAATCTTTCAGGCCTTCCAGCATCGTCATTCGGCTTCAACTCTTTGGTGCGTTGAAGCGATGCATCTCGCTTGGCTCGAGTGCGAAGGAATTTGTTATCCGTCGACGTTGCGTAAAGCGATGCCAATTGATGCGACCGCTGCAACGCTCGACCACGCGTTTCAGGGTCGCCTTCTCGCTCCTGTAATGCTTCTTCTTCCGCGTCATGCAATGCTCCTCGTAGAATATGTTCTACCCGTTCATTGACAGTCTCTTTCCGCCGTCTTCGTGGTGCTGCTAACATCAAGGGGTCAAGCGACCCCGCGCCTGAGAGCATGGTCTGTGGATGCTGGATCGGGCTCATGGCGAACGAAGATGTCATGGTTACCCGGTACAGTGTAAGTGTTTGTCCCGGAATGCACGACGGTGTAATATAGTCATCTCCTCTTATTTTGGGTTGCAAGTGATGCTATTTGAAGGCTTCGGCAAAGGAGCGCACACAGAATATATATTTACTAAAAATATATAGTAGCATTCGATTTTACCATTTCTGGTATTGCTCTTGCAGAAATTGGAGCTCAACAATACTGTTTGACGCAGGCAAGGAAATAAATAAATTGATCTATCCGCCGCATATGTGCTAATTATCGCAATACTCAATTGCAGCACCCAACTGATGATCAGTTACCGGTACTGAAAAACTACCTGCCAACGAGCGATTGTCCGAATGGCTGGGAATTGTTGGACATTCGGAGATTTACCACGACGTCGGAGCTTAAGATGACCTACTCACTAGATATTCGCTGGAGAGGTATAGTTCTAATGCACGTTTACTCGATCGACACAACTACGGTTGCTAGTATTCTCGTCCTCTCGGACCGTAGCCCCGTTCGATGGTATAAACTTTTCCGAGCGACAGGCAATGTCGTTAACGCAGACACCAAGGCAAAATTGTCTCGGTGGCCTCGTGATGTGTGTGCGCTCGTACAAATGTACGTGAAGGCACATCCGTGCTTCTACTTTGAAGAGCTACGCTATGAACTACGCAAGCGCTACCGGGACTCAATTGGTGTATCCGACGCGACAATCTGCAGAGCCCTTCGATTCGACCTCAAGTTGACAAGAGAAGTTCTAACTAAGCGCGCGAGAGAGAGCGTTCCACGCGAGAGACAAGAGTGTGTCGGCCGTCTTACTCTTTTCTACCGTGACCCTGATCAACTCGTCTTCGTCGACGAAACATCAAAGTACGGGAGGTAAGTTTGCAATTGTTATGTTTTTGTTTTTTCGGTTACTTCACATATTTTATTTGCTTTAGATCTGTTCTACATCGCTATGGTTGGCTAGAAATACACCGGCGCATGTAACGCTTCCATTCAGCCGCGGCAAACGCGTATCGTTCTGGCTGCAATGGACGTGCAAGGATTTTTTTTCGTGGGGTGATGTGGAAGAAACCTTTACGCGTTCAAGCTTTCACGAAGTTTCCAAAGCCAAGATACTTCCCTTCCTCAAACCGTGGCCACTACCACGATCCATTATAGTAATGGACAATGCAAAAATTCATATGTACAAGGAACTTCAGGAAATGATCCACGAGACAGGTGCTCTACTCTTTTTCCTACCTCCCTACTCACCCGATCTTAGCCCAATTGAGGTTGGCTTCTCCTTGCTGAAGCGTCGGATTCAACGCCACGCGAGTATGGCGTTTCGGGAGGACCCATTAGCAGTACTACGAGTTGCTATGTACGCCTGTACTCGTCAAAAAGAAGAAGTCGGTGAGAACCTGCACAGCCACTGCGGTTATAGACGTAATGCATTGAATATAAACGCAATGTAGCTACCATTGTTTTTACTTTGTCTCCGTTGCCGTTAGCTATCCAGATGATCAATGCCTTCCATGTTGCCAGTAGGAGCAGGTGTAGAAACCACTGGGGGCTCTCTAAATGGTGGGCACAAACTGTAGTTAGGGAGTCCCAGATCGGATATCGCTGATGTTCACTTCCATTGCGACTGGAACGCCCTGTATCTTGACGCGCACAAGATGGTACTCTGCAGTCGCTAGCTGTTGGCCTTCTTGTGTTGCATCGTCAATTGCTGCCTGTTGTGCGTCCACGTGCTGGAGCTGCTGAAATGTCGTGTTGCTAGGCACTACCAATGGGGCTCCGTCCGGAAGCCCTGCCTGCGTGACTGCCATATAGTTCTGGGTCGCTGGACCTGCAGTTATTCCTTGCTCCCGCAACATTCCTGCAACACGGGGCAGTTGTTCTTGAATACGCGCAGCTGTTGCCCTACGAAGTGTTGTTGTAGCCTCAACTGGTTTTGGCACGTATACGTACAACTCTGAGACGAAGCCCGCTTGTCCACCGTTACGCAGTCTCGCCTTGTGCCACACCGTATCGAGCTGAACCTGCAAAGCACTACTGTCACTACATGGCACCTGAAAGTCCTTCTGATACGCGTTGTTGATCGGCTTGAAGTAAATGTCATAATCAGTGCGCCACTGGCCAGGGATCTTGTTCTCGAAATGCTCTTTAATTTTTGCGCGAAGAACTCGATAGCCTTCTGCTACATTAAGGCAAATGTTGGAGAAGGAGGCACTTTGTTACGACAAAATGCGTAAGGGTTGCCATTCTTAATAAACAAACGACAAGTTAGAGTATTAGGCAAGGGTATTGTTAGCTCCATCGAAAACTCAAATATAAACGTACCTTTTGCAGCTGCACTCTTCGCTGATTTCAGGACGCTGTGTAGCTCCTTCCCCTATGCCATGGGTACTGCTTGATCACTGGCTTCTTGCAACAGACCTTGCTATCCACCATTGACCGCACCGTACACCCCTGTATCTAGCTGCCACCAAGGGTTTTGCCTGTGAGAGGAATTGAGGCTCTACCACCCGTGAACGGGGCTCTTCCGTTGAGCTACACAGGCATTTGAGAGAGGTGACAGCCAGGGAGACAGCTACAGATAAGACAGCAGTTGCCGTCCTCACTGCCGTCATTGTCGGTCAGTCCTCGCCGCCGTCCCCCACTGCGTCCTCGCGGCCGTCCTCAATGCTGTCCACACCACGTCCTCTGTGCCGTCGCCCCGTCCTCACCGCGTCCTCGCTGCCGTCTCGGTGCTGTCCACATCGCGTCCTCTATGCCGTCGTCGCCGTCCTCACCGCGTCCTCGCTGCCGTCCTCAGTGCTGTCCACGTCGCGTCTTCGCCGCCGTCCCCACCTCCGTCCTGCCGACTTATTGAGTCGAAACTGAATGGACGAAGCAACGGACGACCAACTGATCAATGATTGGATAGATACATAAGGGTTTGGGTATCGGCGAAACTCAGGGAACACGTCGGCAAAACGCCAGAAAAGCACAATACATACGGTTGCAATCCTCATTTATCAGCATGCGGCTATATGTTAGCGTTGGCTTCACTGCATTTGCCGTCCTTCATCGCGGCGCAATTTGTGCTTTGACAGGGCTATCTGTAGTTGTGGCAAAGAAGATCTTGTGCGAGGACGGCGAGGGCTAACTGACGTAAGGACTGTTTGCCCACCGAGCGGGTTGGAGAATGAATTTGAGAGCGTGGTCCTGAGTAGACGCCGCGAGATGATACTCTGCCGACGATACACCTGCTGCATTTAGCCGTGTTGAAGCGGAAAGACATTATGAAACCATGCACGCTAAAATGAAGTATTTCTATTTTAAATTGCAATGCCCAATTGCATGGTCCTTGCGGATTGCAATACTTAATTGCACTCGAGTATACGAAATCGATGCAAATTGAATTTTCCCTTGCCTGGTTTGACGATCAACAGGATCTAGGCATTAGAATTCTTTTATGAAACCTTTCAGCCGTAAAAGCAAAACTAGCAGCGAGCTGAACTCTACTCCGCAATCAGCGAGCCGAACGAGTACTCGCCCGTCGACAACGTGAACGTCGCGCACAGAGGGTTCGCAGCAGCAGTACATGCCGCGGTCTGTCTCCGGTTTGATCGCAACCACATAACCCGCGTCCTCGGCCACAAGCTTCAAATCCTGACCGATCTGAGGGTAGTAGACGCTCCAGTCCGCCGCAGTCAGCTCGAACGTCTGTGAAACACCCGCATGCAGACTGATCTTTGAGAATTCCTTCAACTGTTTGACCTCGGGAGCCGAAATGAGTCGGTACAGCTGCGTCTGAAATAGCATCACGGTCTCCTTTCCAGCCGCAGTATCGGAATTGGTCACTGTCACAGACACGTTGATAGAATCGGAGCTTGAGGTGGCGTTGGTGGTGCTGATGGCCATGTCGGAGTAGGTGAAGTTCGTGTAGCTGAGACCATGTCCGAAGATCCACTGCGGCTCGCAGTAGTCACCCGAAGCGCACTGGGTGCTCACACAGATCTGCAACAGCACGATCGACTCCAGAGCGAGTTCCAAAGTAGTGACAACAACTTCTTCGATACCTACAGACCAAGTTTCAAGCTGAGCTTGCCAATACGTCGCACAGACTCTTTTAATCGGGCGATGATAGCCGGGTCTTCCGCGATCAGCTTGTTCGTTCCGTTGGTGAGCGATAAGTCGGACGCTACCATACTCATATCGATTGATTCGCGCTCCAGAGACAACTTGGTGGCCTCGTCGGTGGAGAGAGTAGTGCGGTGGAATTCTGCGAGGTGGTTGATCTCGTGGTAGTCCGTCACCATCATGCCGTCGAAGCCGACGTCGACTCGTAGCAGCTTCGTCATGAGCTTTGTGTTCTCGACCACAGGCACCCCATTGACAGAGATGTAGCTCTCCATCCCAGAGAGCAAATCCGCGTCGATGCCAGCCCTGAACGGCGGGCATTGAAGGTTGTAGAGGCAACGGAGACAGCTAAATCTGGACCGGTTGCAGACGAAGGCGTAGTTTCCTTATGTCAAAGTGTTACTATATTTATATTTAGTAGGAGAAAGCAGTGCTATCGATAACTTAGGTCATTCTTACTTGAAGCTAATAGCCTCCAAGAATTCTCTTGTCAGACCCCTGCACGCCCCATGTCGAGCACCTATTTTTACCTTCGTCCCGGGACGTTCAACCTCGTTGGTTTCTCTTATGGTGAGGCAGAAGGCGGCGAGACGCGGGGAGGGAGGATCAAGGCTAAGCTTGTCACTAGTGGGCGCTGGGCGTCCGAAGCTCCTCAATGAATCGAGTCGCAGCTCAGCGACATCGTACCCCGCTCCGTATCCACGGAAGAGGCCGTCGACGGCGTTGGAACCTTTGTGGGTAGCGCGATTTGTACGTCTCGCGTGCCACGAGGAGGGTCGCGCGTCTGGGACTATGAACTGGCGGTAGGCTACAGGTGGGATCCAGACCAGGGGCATGGGTCGCTTGACGTGAACCTCAACGGTCTCGAAACGACTATTCAGTACCAGCCAGACATCATTCACGATGTGGCTGTGGAGATTTACGCGCTGCGGCCGTGTGCCGGACACGGGGTTAGACATGTCATGGCCCAAGAATTGAATCAGATTCATAATAAGGTCTATAACATGTTTAGCAGGGTCGACCAGCCCGCGATACACGACTCGCAGCAGTTACTATCCACGATCGAGGGCACGAGCCTCGACGAATCCAAGATGGTACCACTTCTCGACATTACAAGTTTTCAGGTTTTCCAAGTGACCATTCGCCATGTTTTGGATTATGTGTATTACAAAGACCCCACAAGAAATGAGATTTGGTGACACGATATTCGAAAGTTGGTCGCATAGGTGTAGGATAATGCGTCCTAAGACACGTCCTAAAGTGTCCTATTTGTCCTAAATTTTACAGGGAGATTTTCCTAAAAAGCGACTAATCCTTCGCTACAGAATATTATAATTTGTGTCCTCCATATTGTCCTAAAACTCAAATATTAACTTTCTTCTGGACCTTCTACTTAAAATTACATAAGCGTTACTTAATACACACATTAGCGTTACTTACTGTCCTAAGGCACACTACCAACCATTTATCAATCTCCACCACGGCAGCTAAGCACCATGGACCATCGCGGCTACTCCTTCTGCATCAAGCGCTCGTGTCCTGAAACAAGCACGGTTTACTACGTCTGCAAGCGGTTCCGCAAAGGATGCAAGGCTAAGATAACTGTCCGATCAGGTGCAGTTGTAGCAGACGGGGTTCTACATACGTCCGACGAGGCGGTGCCACAAGTCATTGATGTGCGCAGCGAAATGCGCCTAGAGCTACAGCGACGCAGCGTCAGCAACATGGCTACCCCTCCACCAGTTGTCTGGCAAGAGGTGTACGACGGGATCAAGCGCCGCCATGCTGCCGCTATATCCAGCGTATCGAGGATATCAAACACCTCCGCCAGAAAGCCCCTCAGCATGCCCCACCAGCGACACTGGAGATTCCTGAAGACTACAAAAGGTTTGAGTAGATGCAGATAGAACCTACTAATACAATATTCCCATGTGTAATTGCTCTTGTGAATTATAGATGAATAATTGAATTATATTGATAAGACAGTAGAAAACTAGTAACGTTGTCCTAATAGGACAGTGCATGTTGGGTTTGATGTTGTCCTAATAGGACAGTAGTCTGAGTTGCTGTGTGTCCTAATAGGACATAATAAGTGTCGAGTTGTTGAGTGTCCTATTAGGACACACGGAGCCTGGCTTGTTTCGTCCTAAAGCACATTGTGGTGTCCTAAATATTGGATCGTTTATGAACCGATTGCTAGTTTTTTATCCCAGGTTTTAGGACAATAGGACACTTTAGGACACCTAGTAGGACGCATTCTCTCCTACCGGTCGCATAACCACAATCCAAGAGACCGAGGTGGTTGAAAGGGACGGGCTAAGTGATTTAGAGGATGATATTGCTGTTTTCATGAAGTAGGTGGCGTTTTAAACGCATCGGATCAGTCGAGCATCAAGCGCAGACGGCTAGAAACAAGCGGTGGTGGAGCTTCGGGATAAGCCGTGCGGCAGTTTGGTGCCAGTGTCAGGACGGTTGGCTACGGTAGGAACTAATAGGCTAGTGAACACAGCGATAGGAGTCTAGTTAAAGGAAATTCACTTCTAAACTTGCAAGCAATAGCACACCAGCATTCCCAGCAAAGCGAAAACTACCACACGGAATAAAACAATTATTTTTTCCTGACATCCAAGCGCAATTTTTGTATTTTACTTTCCGAGCCCTGCACTGATGCTATCGTTACTTCCAACGTACACTGCAGGAATGTACACTAGCACAGAGGATAATATGCTTAGATATTATCTTCTAAGACTGGGTGTGTCAGTCGACAAATTATTCGCTCGCATAATGATTTCTAAGTACTCACTGACAAAATGCAGCTACATTTTTTTCTAGAAAAGCAGTGCTTCCCGCTTATAATTAACGAACAGTATATGTACCACGCGCAGTGCTTGCTGTGATATTGCGCTCGTCATTGTTACCGATAGGTAGGGATCGCCGTTTCTAGAACTAAAACTATCGATGTCTGGTGAACGAATACTTTCAAGAAAATTGAGTTTTTAGAAAGTTTTCAAATCCCTCAGTGTTTGATTCAAAGACGTGAGCATAGAAACCCTTTTCTGTATGAAGCAGTCAACAACACTACCCCCTTTATGGTCCGGGAAGTAGCGAAGCTTCGTGGCAATCTATCACTGCCTCTCCACTCGCAAACTTAGCAGTAGTAGAGACCACCGAAAGGCATGCCCAGACCGCACCCGCCGCCATACGGCCCTGCGCCAAACGTGTTCCAGTAGCCCAACGGATAGGCCCAGCCGGGGACACCGCCGCACCTGAATCCGAAGCGGTAGGGCCCAAAGCCACCCCAACCGCCTTAGCCTCCCCATCCACCGAGTCCCCAGCCGCCAAGACCACCGAAACCTCCACCGAGACCTCCACCGAGACCCCATCCGAAGTTCTCCTTATCGTCGTCCTTGTCCTTGTCCTTGTCCTTGCCGTTGTCATCCTTGTCACCGTGGTCTTCTTTTGTGATCGTTGCAGCGGCATTGGCAGGAGGCTCGATCTTCTCCGTTTCACCCGTGAGCGCGACGCCATCGAGTAACGCGGACGCTTGAGCTTGTTCAAGAGCTTCGGCCGCCGACTTGACAAAAGACTGGTCCGCAGCGGCGACAGCACCGACGACAGCCATCATGGCGACGAGAAAAGCGTGGAACTTCATGGTTGCGTTGCTGATTCGTTGACTTGGTCGCTGGTAGGTTGGTACTTGACTTGCTCTGTAGGAGGCAAATCCAGTTGTGATCAAACGGACCGTAGTGGACGAGCAGGTTCATGAGCTATCTGTAAAGAATCCTATTGCTTGTCATCCGCTGTCGTAGATCTTCAGTAGAGAAGTCGCCGATTTGTTCTAGTCGAAAGTCTCACCATGATGGAAGTGGCAGTGATTGAACTAGGCTCAACAAGGCGTAAACCAGAGCAACGCAGCCTCTGTTCTAGCGTTCATAGCTTACGTTAAAATTCAGACATTCCAAATATGAATTTACGCTCGAGACTTACAAAGGAAATGTACATTTACTTTTGGATTTTTTTTACAATTGTTGCTTCTGTTTCTTCTGTTGTAATGTTGGAAACGTAGGGCTCGATAAATATTAATAAACCAAACACTAATTATAAAGAGTTTTTTTTTCAAACCCCACGCTCCCCGTAAAATATGTTACTGTACAATAATAATGATACAAAGCCGTGTTTCACACGGTGAAGCTCTGGATTTAAAATTGTGTACAGGACGGTGCTCCCTCATTGATTTTGCAGTAATGTGCGTCAGTAATGAGCCTCTGATATGAATAGAGAATACTTTTTTATACTCAAAGTGTCAGAAAAAGGTTCTTGTCAATTGGTTCTGTACAAATTGAGCTTCAAATGCGTTCCTTAAGAGCTTTATTACTGCATACAATTACTGCAGTCCTGTATTCGGTTGGATGCTTTGTTCTAACAGGATAAAACGTGATCATACTGTGCGAGTCGCACTGCGATCACTAGAAGGATATTGGGCATCATCTACGCTCAGTGCAACTGTTCGGACAACATTCACGACGATTAAATTACTTCGGCTAGTCATAATTTACGGTGATGTAACGCTTGGCCGCCACAAGCAGCATTAGTATCACTGGTACAGAGAATTATTGGTTTGAGTAAGAGGCAAATACCGAAGTGAGAAAATTAGTGCTAACCAAAACTGTCTAACAAGTGTGGCGTAATCACTAATGCCATGTGCCTTCATCCAATCATAGCGCTCTAGCATGTGATTACCCAATGGCGTTCCAGAAGCAGTTCCAGCCAATAGTGAAACGGTTCGGTAACCGCTCCAACGGTCACGCCTAACCGTGCAGAGCCGGTGCAACTGCAACACTCCCACTCACCACTACTGCACGGTAGCCTTGTTCTTAATGCCGGTCGCATCGTGCTGGAACGCCAGGGTCTTCATCCCAAGCGACTTTGTTAGCGTGTCGTCCAGTAGGAACTGCGCGTCGCCGTAGTCCACCTTAGCCGTTCCACGTTCCTCTTTCTGACGGAAGTCGACATGCTTGGCCCTTGCGTGATATCTAGTGCTCCTCTCCAGTGTAATCGCGTCCTTCCA